TTTTTCAGAGAATTACTCATGCTCAAAAGAGATTCCACCAGACTGAATGGCTGATTATAGTTAATAGTTGATTTTGCCCCTGGATTCAGGTTGTTTAATTTAGCAGAAAATTGCTTTGGATCAGATTAGCAATAGCAGGAAACTTCCACTGGAGATTAGAGGTCGACCAAAATTATTTTTTCTATTGCCCATGCCAATATGTAGCAGACATGGCCAGCCAGTGGGCTTATTTTCATGGCTGATATCCAGATATTTTCCACCTTATTTTCATGCTAAAATGTCACTAGTAACAACAGTTGTTGCACAGAATTTCTGAAGTTTTTGAACTTTTGGAATTTAACTAACTGTTAACTTTGGGCACTGCTCAATGTTAAAGTCAGACACCTAATTAAAGTTAATGTAGAGTATTTATTGTGCAGATCTTATTTAAATGAATTAAATTAGAATCTGCAACAGCACCTGGCTGCGCGAGGATGTGCCTGACTTTAAATCCGTTTTACTAAGGACAAATAATCATTTTTTCTATGAAGCGTTTTTTTTTTTTTTTTAATCTTGCCTGCTTCACCTTCTGCTGCTTTCTGCCTTTCTGCTCGAGGCACATGCACAGTTGTGGCCATCCGGGTCAGCTGTCGTGCCACCACAATAACAAGAAATCATGGCAAGCCGGCAACGTAGCTCAAAAGTTTGGAGAGCATTTTACAAAGATAAAAGACAAGCACGTACTGTGCAAAAAGTTCGAAGTAGAACTCTCCCTTCACTGGAGCACAACGGTGATGCGTGAACACCTTATAAGGAAGTATGTTGTGGTGGAGGATGAAGAGGGACAGTCGCCTCTAGCTAATTACCTCTTGTTAGCGGCTAACAACAGAGTTACTTGTGTTTATAGCTGTAGCAACAACAGTAGTGATGGCAATTTCATCACATTTCGCACAAGTATGTCACATATTCACTGTGTAAAGGATGGGTCATTTACATCTTAATTATGAACCATAAAATGTGAGATTCTATAGAAATATGAAATATCAATCTGATGGATCTTTGAATATTTTAACCAAAAGATCAGAACTTTTTATTGCAGGGATTAAGTAACACTTCGTATTTAAATTTAAAGTCCCATTAGTTGTCACACACACACTGATGTGTGTGCGAAATTTGTTCTCCGCATTTGACCCATCCCCTGGGGGAGCGGTGAGCTGCAGACACAGCCGCGCTCGGGAACCATTTGGTGGTTTAACCCCCCAATCCAACCCCTTAATGCTGAGTGTCAAGAAGGGAGGCATTGGGTCCAATTTTTCAAAGTCTTTGGTATGACCCGACCAGGAATTGAACCCTGATCTCCCAGTCTCAGGGCGGACACTCTACCACTAGGCCACTGAGTATTAACTCCAAGGTAAGAAAGAGAGTCAGGTTTAAAATAATTAAGAAATTTATTTCTACACAATTGAAACAAGACTAACTTTAACACACTGTGTACTGATAGACTAAGGTGGAGTGAGACGTGAGATGAATGATGGTGTGTGTGGAATGTTATCAGAATCAGTGGAACCGGAGAAGCATTTAGTTCTGAGTGGGAGTGAATGTTTCGCTCTAAACTTTAGTAGGAGATTTATAACACACATGAAACTCCATCTGTCAGTCTACCATAGGCGTCATTTTAACCGGGGACGCCGGGTACATGTCCCAGGCAAAATTTGTGATTGGCAGCTGTGTCCCCCCCACTTTCAAAAAAGCCTGCTGATGAGGATTTTTGTTTTACCAGCTCAGATCTTATACCAGGGGTCGGCAACCTGTTCCCATCAAAGAGCCATTATTACCCATTTCCCACAGTAAAGAAAACACCGCAGCAGCCGCAGCGTTGCGGGCGGGGCCTACCCTCAGACAGCAGAGAGCTGCTCACAACAGGTGACAGCAGCCGAGGGCATCGCACCCGTGGGGGATACAACACCCACACTTTTCCAGCTGTTTTGCTCACCTCCACACCAGTCTGGTTTCTTTACGTCGCACTCACTCTGTTTGCCTCATCTCCTTCTCCCCCTCCCGCTTCTAACAGCCGATGTCGGGTTTCCAGGAGAGCAGGAGAGGGAGGGACGGAAGAGCTCGACTGAATTCATAATTTTACATCTTGACATTAGCTGTACAAACTCTGAGTTTGATAAAGTGAAGAACAACAATTTGCAGAGGTTTATAACAGGCACGGCGCCAGGTTTTCATTTTTGGGTGGGCCACGGTAATTTTGGACGAAACTTAATAAGCAGTGACTTAGTGAAGCAGGCAGGTCGCACTAGAAAATTTAGTTTAAAAAGACGCCATGAATGTTTTCCCCTGTCATTTTAATTTCTAAAATATGAAGTAAAAACTCCCAATTTAATTTTCATTCATTTGTCATTAATATGTAGTTTACACCCGTGCGTTAAGTGGACTATCTTCCAGTAAAAGCAAAGCATCCAGCCCACCTCTCCAAATGCGTAAAATGTGCATCAGCCGCTAGTTAGGCGCGCAGCGCACCATCAGCTACGTCAGCCCAGACAAGAGCAGAGCAAATAGAGAAAAAATGGAGGATAATTCTGTCTGGATGTGGATGGAGGTTACATTTTACAGCAGCCTGATCATCATTTAAATACTTAACCCATCACCTGTCTTCTAGTCCACGCTATCAGCATTATTTTAATTGGTGTGTGTGTGTGTGTGTGTGTGTGTGTGTGTGTGTGTGTGTGTGTGTGTGTGTGTGTGTGTGTGTGTGTGTGTGTGTTTTCCACTTCAAACACTGGTCTAACCAACCAGACCAGCGTGTCCAGTAACACATTAATGTTACAACTAAACTTGATTAACCCCAGAGTCGTGCGCACTGCACTGTACTGACTGTAAATGAGGGGAAACGATTTAATCGGATCCTTTTCTTTTCAACATGGTTTAATGTAAAGTTTCATTCAGTACAAACTTTAGTTACACCAGTCTAACGAGACAGAGCCTGGATTTGTATTCTGAACAGTTTAAACATGTTTAAAACAGAGACGTGCGTGACGCGTCTAAAATTCGCACCTGCTCCGCTATTATGGAAATTAAACTAACAAGATGAATAACATGAAATTATTTTAGGCACAGACAACATTTCCCACACTTTTGAAAAGCTTGCAACGCGCCTGATCGCTCGTGTACGTCTTAATTATCTTTCATTAGACGATAATCAATAAAACGATTTATATAAAGTGGATCCAGAAGTTGTAGCCCGTCTCTGCCTTCAATTTTTGGTATTTTTCACCCTGTTGATGGTTTTACTGAGCAGGAGCCCCTTTTGTCATACGTTTCTTTTTAAAACATGTTTAGACTGTTCAGAATACAAATCCAGGCTCTGTCACGTTTGATTGTTGTAATTAAACTTTGTAGGTGGGGAAGGTCAGAAAGCAGCTCAGAAGCGCCGATATGATTACGCACAAGCGTGACGCGTCAACCCGGTGTCACAGTAAGACCGGGTTGGAACTGTTCAGGTTTACGCAGACAATCTTTACATTTAGAATTGGCATACAGATATAAAATTAATGCAGTAAAATATAAAGCATTTTATTTAAATATCCATTCATTATTTTACAAGCACAGAGAGCCGCATCAGATGGATGGAAGAGCCGCATGTGGCTCCAGAGCGGCGGATTGCCGACCCCTGTGCTAGCCTACTTTATTGTCCCCAGCAATTTTTAAACCCCACTCAAGTGTATGGTTATTGTCCCCAGAAATTCTGAAAACAAACTGACGCCCTTGCAGTCTACGTACCCCAGGGGAAGCCTCCATTTAGATCCAGAATGTCGAGGTCCTCTTGGACCCTCCTTGGAACTGAAGCCGGTAGAAAAGCAGCGGTGCCGACCAAACTAGTCTTGTAATGCTTCCAGGTCACGACAGGTTCATTGGCATCAGCGAGACCCTGAAGGGGTCATGAGGTTCAGATTTTATTCTGAAGGAACCGTTGCGTTCAGGTGTAACTTGCAACAGATTTTATCCAGCTTGTCAAGGTTCTTTAGCTGTAGAGGAAGTCCGGATGGCCTGTCCGAGACTTCTCTAGAACGCTTTGAACTGAAGTAAAGGTGGTGTGGAATAGTTTTTATAATTGTCATATTTTGGTTTACTGGCAAGTCAGAATTTGACATGCAAAAGAGGGTTTATACAAACACCACAGAAAACCACACCTCGCGCCAGAAACGACGGTTCTGATTGGATCAGACAAAAGGAAATGTGTCGTGTGACTTTAGCATTACGTGTCCTCAGTGTCTAGTACAAATGTCCAGGATTATAATTACTTGTAAAATACTACTGATCACAGGATTATAATCTCAAGTAATAACATTGTCATTTCACAGATTGATTGAACATTGGGCTCACATTATTATTGGTAATAACAAAGTTGTTTGATTATGTGTTCATCAAGAGAGTTCTTCTTCATCATATTGAGCTGTAACAGACGCGAAGCAGTTCACATGAGCTGAGTGCATGAAAGACCTTGGCCAGTATCTCATGTAGATTAGCCTGTCAGAGACTTTATGTCTCTGCTCGAGCAGATGCAGCAGATCATGAACTTTAGGTCAAAAACAGGACATTCATGATGCTACAACTGTAACGTTACAAACACTAATGATTTATTGTATCCCTCTACATTATCCGTCTTCAGCGGACAAGTTTGTTACCAAGCCAACAACACGCACACCTCGGCAAGCATTTGTTGTTTGATAAGCTATTATCTTGTCTATCTTTAGATGGCACATAACAGAGCACACTTCAAACTTGAAGCTGATGATGGGTATTTTAGAGCAGCTACATCTTGGTGAAATAAGATATACTGTAATTATGACACGTTTAGTCGACTAATCGCCCAAAAAACTGGTGATGAGTCAATTATTAAAATATTTGCTCGTGGCAGCCCTACTGGGGACCTGATAGCTGTTGGTCCATCACATCAGCTGCTACAGCCACAACCATAAAACATTCACTGATCCGTGCTACTTTGTTTCTCACAGGCTTCCTGCTTTTTAAGGACTTTTGTATGAACGAAATCGACGAGGCCGTGCCACAGCTCAAGTTCTATGAAGAGGTGAGTGTGTGGGATTAGATGAAGGGCTAGCTCTGAGGTTAGGCCTGTAATCCAGCTCTTTCAGATTTAGCCCTTCTGGGAAGTTCCTGGTGTCAAGCTTGTGTTTGCATTTCAGATTAAGGATTATGAGAAGATGGACTCGGAGGAGGAGCGCCTGAGCCGCAGCCGGCAGATTTACGACGTATACATCATGAAGGAGCTGCTGTCCTGTTCACATGTGAGGATGGCATCTCTGATAGACACACACACACACACACACACACACACACACAAACGGTGATCACAGTAATGTGCTTTTCCTCCAGTGCTTTTATTTTTTGGAAATCATCAAAATTATTACCAATAAAAATGAAACTCAGCTAATCTCTGCATCATTAAAATGATAGGTATTATCAGTAATAATTTAGCCTGAGTTTTTATCCTGCAGTAATCTGACTCATGGGTATAATTTGATGTTTTCAGGTCATTTAATAACATGTCTTAAACTTTTCCAACCTTTATTTCTTTTGTTGTAATGTTATGAGAACGGTGAAGGTATTAATATTTATTAAAATGTCCAAAAAGTCACTTAACTAGTTTAATTTTCAGCAAGAGACAGCTGGGTTTGTTAGGAGGCAGGTGGAGGTCTGAGAGGCTGCAGTCATGCAATTGGGATAAAATTTGTCGACACAGTAAAGCTGCAATCAGTGTCTTCCAGCAATCCCAATCTAGCTTCTTTTGTTTGTTTCTGGGTCCGTCCGTCCCCCGTCCCCCCGATGTCTCATCCAAATGTAAGTGGTTAGATAAATGGTTCAAACCCAAGTTCATCAGCTAATTTCTCTGCTCTACTGTTGAGCCCACTGAGGTTCTAGCTAAGCATGTAGGGAAGTGCCAGGGCCCATTTCCACAGCAGTCCTTCTGATCTCAGGTCAGAATAACGGTTCCTCTTAGATGAAAATATATATTTGCATGTCAAAGCTGCATTTACAGATCACTTTATAATCATTATAATGAAGGTTTCCTCTTACAGCTCACGTTTATGCACAAAACGTTGGAAGTACACACACACACACACACCCACCCACCCCTCTTTTATCGGATTTTCGCCAAGCTCCAACAGTAAAAATCCTACTCCGGTCACTGATTTAACCACCAGGGTAATGCAAGAGCAGGAGGTCATGCCTTGCACCTGTGTGGGACAAATAAATCAGCACCAACTTGTGGAGTTCTTTAGAAAATCTAATATGTTGTTATCTTATCAAGAACATTTTACATAAACGAAGGAACAAACCCAGGGCAGGGGGGTGTTTAAATGGACTGTTGTAGCATTACATGGAAAGAAAAATCTCTGCTGTTAAAGTCTTATGTTAGCATGAAATAGTTAAAAGCTCCACGATTAAAGTCATAGGTTTACCAGAATAAAACTAAAATGAGAGCATGACTCCTGGCACCTGGTAGAACACAGTTAGGGATGCAAAGTAAAATTAGTGCTGCTGTGAGCAGATAGGAAGTTATTAAACCACCCGCCTACTCAGTCAGATAGTAGTCGTGATCTCTGTAGCAGCAGCGTGTTTCACTAGGGGACATAGTCCATGAAAGCAGAACTGAAATCACCGCTTAGGTTGCTTCTTTAATGGCCTTTCATTTCATTTCATTTATTGCAGCCATTTTCCAAGAAGGCAGTGGACCATGTTCAGAGTCACTTGGCAAAGAAGCAGGTCCCTCCAACTCTCTTTCAGGTAAAATACCCTTTCAGCACAATCATCTATGCTTTTCAGACACACGGGTGCTCACCAAGTTCAGGCAGGAGCCTGAAAACTGAGCAGCTAAAATGTTTTTTATTTGTATTTACAGATAGTTCTCTGAACAGTGTTTCCCCTAGGAATTTTTCCAGCTGTGGGGCCGGCGGGGGGGGGAATTATGACACGTCTCTAAATAAAGTAAAATGTTCTAGTGCAGAGAGGAGACAACCCATAGAAGCACTAATTTGATCTCATTTCAGAGAAAAATAGCACAGGTTAGATGCACCTAATAAATAAAATTACTAACAAACTCAGGAATCTGTTTCTTTGCTTCATTGTTCTGGTGCTGGAAACGTCACTAATGCGGATCAAAGGAGATACACAGATAAATGCACCTCTTATTTATTATTTGGAAACTACATTTACTGCAGCTGCCGATGACGTCAAAGTACGGCAAACCCACTCGGACAAAATACACCAGACATCTTTATACTGTTGGAAATAATTTAGCAGTTTCGTTATTAAAATAATGTTTCTTAAGATGTAAGTTTGTGTTTATAATGGCATTAGTAAAATAAAACACTATATTTTATTCATAATGTTGAACTCCTCTTTGAGCACATCCCTTGAAGGATCATAGGTATTAGCAACACCTGTGAAATTATATTTGTAGGAAAGAAGTGTGTCCCGTTTATTTAAGTATTTTGTGTTTAGAGTTTTTGACGTGTTGTCCATGCGTAGTTCAGTTACGCTCATAGCTGCTAGCCAAAACTCTGGAGTTAAAAGTTTTCTGGCTTTACTAAAATACCTGTCTGTACTTATTTGATTGATGGTAGTTTTACTTTCTATTAGACTTCAAATGTAATCATTTGGCACGTTTCTAATTCATAATTTGTAAGAATGTAATCGGTGATATTAGCATTAGCATTCCTATGGGTTTTTCCACGTATATTAGCATTGCGCTAACCACTCGCTGCCAAATTGCAGCCTTTGCGATTAGAAAATCCTTTTGTCACATCGCAATTTAATTGCACATGCAGTTAATCGTTCAGCCCTAATATACATGCAGCTCTATGCTAAAAGTGTATTTTCAAAGAGGTAATGATGGATTTCTTTGTAAAAGTTGTCCATCTTTCCAACAGAAAAATTTGCCTGGACCAACGTAATGTGATAACAGCGTAACGTGATTATGTAACTCCCGTGAGGTTCTTGTTCAGCCAATCAACTACTTTGACGTTAATGGCAGTCGAAGGACCCCGAGCCGATCCGGCACCCGAGCAGATCCTGTACCGACACCGGCTCGGACGTGAACGAGCAGAGGTGACGTCGTGCTCTGCTTAAGAAGAGGTGTTATTTTCCCGCTTCAGAAGAAGCGTCCAACGTGTTTTTACGCTTTCTCCGAGACCTGTCACGTCGCTAAGTTGTTAACGCCGCGCGCTAACACATCAATAGTGCAGAGTAGAATGCTGGAGGTTTTAAGGGTTCAGATGAAACACCCGACCTCTCGCGCTGCTCACACATCGATCTTAAGTTGTCGCTGTTGCGCTCACATCGTAATACAGTATTAGATGCGGTTTAAGTCAGACATGAAAAAATAAATACATTTTACATGAATAAGTGATGCTTAACCTGGTGGGGGGCGGAAAACCTGGCCTATTAAGCACTGGAGGAAACCCTGTCAAGATCGTCAACACTCATTTATCTTAATGCTGTAAAGAAAAACTTGGTTGCTCAGCCATATTGTAAAACTGGCTGGCTGGTCATATTGTAAGGAGAAACTGTCTTTACTCAGTTTTATTGTTAAGAAGACTCAAAGGTTGTTTTCATCGATAAACTGACGATAATATCTGAGTGTCTGTGTTTCAGTTCAATGAGGAAACCAGTTTGACGATTAAAAGTGTTAATTCTTCAAATTAAACTAATGATTTTGAAAACTGACAAACAGGAAATAACAATCAACATTACTTTGTGGGACAATCTTTAACAGTTGATATGCTGTTCTTGCTCAAATAGACCTTCTGTCGGTGAATGAAGATTGAGTGTGATATGATGTGATTATGGATGCGTGTGTGTGTAAAGTGTCGTGATAATTGAACATGAGGTGAGATGAATGCGTGTGTGCATCTGATTTTGCTTCAGGAAGAAACAGGTGTCTGAGTGAAAAGTGATGGTTTGAATAAACTTAGGTTTAGTTGGAAAAGATGCATCAAAACGCTATCTGTCGTGTTTTGCCTCACCGAAAATCGGCCCCTCTGTTGGACCCGGGACGTCACTTTAGGATGTTTCATCCAGGTCACCTTGGCTGGCAAAGAAGACAAAGATGCGCCGCGAACCGGTCCAGAGTTGCCCTCGGTACACGTTGATGATAAAGCGTTTTGTCGACGCGCTTTCTTAAGTTAATTCACTCAGAAATCAAAAGACTCGGTAATGAGTCTGCGTTAGAAGTTGCGATTCAGCTATTCTGTCTGGCTGACAGAAACAGCGTGAGAAAAGGGGGGGGGGGGGGGCTTGAGAAACGAGCCAACAGGCTCTGTCCCCCCTTCAGGTTTTCAGGTCCACTCTCTTTCGTTGTCCAACACGAACTGCAATCATAAGACTGAAACTTACCAAAAACCTTTCTCTTCTCAAAGCAAACGTGTGCGTCATCAAATGTGTCTGGAGTTTACTGTGGGAAGATGTGTGTGGGTGTGTGTGAATGTTTGTGTGCTTGAGTGTGTGTGAAGGTCAGTACCAAACATTCTCAACATTATTTAAGAATGGATTCATTAAATCTCTTATAATTACCCCAAAGCATAATAACCATTCATTTGATTAAACACATTTATAATGAGCAAAATGATAATGGTTACTTTAACATTAAAATCAAGAAAAAGAAGTTTAAACTTTATGTTTTGACTTGGTCTGGGTACAACTCATGGAAACACATCTTCTGGTAGACTGCAGGTGGCTGATGTTATGGTTTCCTCCCAGACTCGCTGGCGTTCAGGTCTTAATCTGTGGGTGAAAGTTCTCAATGACCCAGCTTTGACCCAGCTGCGTCCAACACCACCATTGTGCCAGAAAACCCATATTTCATCACGTTACAATGCTAATGAACCAAAAAGCATTATATCCACTGCTACCTTTCTAATTTTAAACTCGGTAACTTATGCTGTAACTTCACCTTGCCCTGCCTGCTCCTCCTTGCTGCCTGCCGGCTGTGATCACAAGCGACAACATAGTAGTTCCTGCTGCTTCTTCGGGAAACAGCGCCAAAAAAAAAAAACTTGGGATCTTGTAGGCGTGGCGGTGGGATTTCAACCGTGGCGGGCCGCCACGGCTACGCCTATGTAAGGGAAACCCTGCTGAACATTAATCCTCTGTTGTAAATAAATTAAAACGGAGGAAAGATGTTGACTCACAGCAACAGAATGCTCTTAACACGTTATTCCTCTGATATATCATGTATGAATAAAAATATGGCCTTATAATATATATCAAGCTTCTTGTAATTTTCGTAGATTAAAATAGTGTTTTATTGCCCCAACATTGTCAAAAACTGATGTGTGGACTAGGGCCCGCAATAAATCGAAAATGTTTTGTTATCAAAATTTCCGACACTTTTCGAGAAAATAATTCCCATGTCAATACATTTGATAATAAAAAAATGAAAAGATGTGTTGGTTGGCAAAGTTCATGTCCCTTTAAGAAGCTGTACCACCTTGAGTCACTTAAAATGTGACTCAAAATAATACATGTGACAGCCCCATCTAGTGGACAACTTTTGCTTCTGTCCACACCTGTAGTTATCGTCAATTTATCGCCATCGAGGTTAAATCTTCAATATACCGTGATGTTGATTTTAGGCCATATCGCCCAGCCCTAACGTGGTCCTACACTTTCAGTGGAGTCTAGCTGTGTTTGGTTATACTGATTGTACCTGATTAGGAAAGCACACACCTGTCTATATGAGACCTACAGCTCATAATGCATGTCAGAACAAATGAGAATCATGAGGTCAAAGAAACTGCCTGAAGAGCTCAGAGACAGAATTGTAGAAAGGCACAGATCTGGCCAAGATTACAAAAACATCTCTGCTGTACATAAGGTTCTTAAGACCACAGTAGCCTCCATAATCCTTAAATGGTAGATGTTTGGGATGACCAGAACCCTTCTTAGAGCAGGCTGTCTGGCTAAATGGAGCTACCAGGGCAGAAGAACCCAAAGATAACTGTAGCTGAGCTCCAGAGATGCAGTCAGGAGATGGGAGAAAGTTGTAGAAGTTCAACCGTCACTGCAGCCCTCCACCAGTTTTATGGCAGAGTGGCCCATTGGAAGCCTCTCCTCAGTGCAAGACACATGAAAGCCTGCATGGAGTTTGCTAAAAGACACCTGAGATGGTGAGAAATAAGATTCTCTGGTCTATTGAGACTAGGGCTGCACAATATATCACAAATATGTCATTATTGCAATATCAGCATGCACAATATGAACAGATAAATATTGCAATGAATGGTCAGCTCAAATGTTTGTTACACATAATGCATTCTGTCAATCAAATGGAAGCATGATGGTTTTTTAACAAATCAAATAGAGCTCTTCACCCATTTGGCCAATTGGGTGGGTTCTCATACAGTAGGTTAGATGCCCTCCCCTGAGGGTTGGCAAACACCTCAGTTAGCTTTGTTTTGCTCTTTCTGCTGATTCTGCTTTTCCCGGGATCCACTGATTGCCTTTTCTTGTTCATTTTCTTTTTCCCTTTCCTCAAATATTTTGCTTTTCTCATTTATTTGATTTTTAAGTAATTTTTCATTTCTTTGTTTTTGATCATTTTCGTTCTCAAGTTAAGTTTTTATTTATCGCAAGTAATATCGTCATCGCAATATTAATCACTGTTATCGCATATCGCAGGTTTTCCTAATATCGTGCAGCCTTAGATGAGACCAAGATAGATTGGCCTTAATTCTAAGCGGTATGTGTGGAGAAATCCAGGCGCTGCTTATCACTTGTCCAATACAGTCCCCACAGTGAAGCATGGCAGTGGCAGCATCATGCTGTGGGGGTGTTTTTCAGCTGCAGGGACAGGATGACTGGTTGCAATCAAGGGAACAATGAATGCAGCCAAGTACAGGGAGATCCTGGACAAGAACCTTCTCCAGGTTCTAGCTGTCTGCTCATTCATGACAAAAAACTGTTTCTCCAAACAGAGGCTGTTCAGGAAGCTATTTGCAAAGGTTAGGGATTTTTTATAAGCTTTACACAGCACATGCTTCTAAATGTTCCAAAACAAACCCCCATAACTGTGAAGCATGACTCCTTCATGCACAAAGAGGTTCCTAAACACAGGAACTAATTGGTTTTCTACAGATAACAGAAAACTCAGCATGTAAACATATAAATAGTTTCAGGTTATTGAGTTAAACCAGGGTGCCTCAAAAATACAAATTGTTCCCATTTTATTTGTTAAATTTTTTTTTAAATTTAAAGAGAACAGTTTGACATTATTCCAAACAACTGTTATTACTATAAGATTTGACAAATCAGCCCAAAGAGCTTTGTGTCCTGGAGTGGAATGGAAAGCCAGACTAAACCTAATGTATTGGGACTCGAACTCTGTTTTTGATGTGTGTGTTGTAGTTGTGTTTGAGTATGTTATACAATTTTCTCCTGGTATTTGGTGAAATATGGAGCAGATTAGAACTTAATGCAGCTTTGTGCGTTCTTAGCTACGTTCCTCAGCTCTTATTTCCTGTCCTTGTGTCGCCCGGCCCTGTTTTGGTGATGCAGACCGCCTCCACCAAGACATGAGAGAAACTCAACGATCTGCTGGTGCATTTCCACTATAAATACTTGAGTCCTTGTGGCATTGAGAAAGTTGTTGGTGTATTTTAATAATCCAAATACATTTTTTGTTCCTTCGGTGACACTCAGATGAAGAGATTCAGGTTTCTCTGCGAGTTTCTGGATTTTCAAGCAGAGTTTAGATCAGGATAACCAGATTCTGTCGTTTTTAAGGGATTAAATTGGTCCCAGAACCTAAGTTATTTGCTTTCTATTTGTTAAACTGCCCCGAGATGACATTTAGTTATAAATTGGTGCTAATAAAACTAAATTAAGTCTCTTCTTCTATCAGTCGGTCTCAACAAACCCAACAGTGTTTAATGCCCGATGCTCACATTGGTACAGCTGGTCATCATGAGTCAGTCCTTGAAAGGCCACCCAGAACCAAAACCAGACAGGAGTAGTCTTTCAGTGTGATGAAGCTAATTAAATCGTTCCTCTTTAGAACACATCCTGGCTCTTATGCTGGTTATGAAATGATCTACAGTGTGTACATTTTCTGTCAACCTTACGACACCGACCAACACCAGTGTTGGGTTTTTACTCAGCTGGAACTGATGTGTGTGTTTACTTCTTGCAGCCATACATAGTGGAGATCTGCGACAGCTTGAGAGGGACGATCTTCCAGAAGTTTATCGAGAGGTGAGAAGGTTCAAACGGGGAAAAGCGGGCAGCGCATCAACATTCATCACTGCTTGTGGCCCTCTGGCGGCCACAACTTTTACCCTCTCTTGTTTGTCTCTTCCTTCAGTGATAAATTCACTCGTTTTTGCCAGTGGAAGAACGTGGAGCTCAACATCCATGTGAGTATGAGCTTTGGAAGTCAACTTCACACCTATAGGTTTTTTTTTATCCACGTCAAGAGAGTGCTCCTTCAAAAGTGGCTTTTGTACACAGATATTTAGCCAAAAGCAGGCATCTGGATGTAAACGCTCAGACTAGGATGTCGGTGTTGGAGAATACAGGAAACTGTTTTTCCAAGCTTTCACTCTTTGCCTTTCTTTCATCTAGTCTACGGGGATTTAAGACTACAATTCCCATCAGGTCTTTGGGATTTAACGTTCAGAACTGACAGATTTCAGGCTCCTGGATGGTGTTTGGTTTTCATGCTGTCAACATCGTGTAGAAGGATAAGTAGTGAGGCTGCTGGTCCTGATCATCTATCAACAAGACGACAGGCTGCCTCAAACATCTGGAATCCGTTGGGAAAGGTTTAGTTAAAAAACATAGATTTCTGACTATTATTTATTATACACTCTAAGAACTGAAGGACACTTAAACACCAGCTGTTAATATTAAGCGTGGACAATGTTTATAAATGGTGTTTCAAACCGTATTTATGGACTCCGATGAAAACAGATAGCATGAAGGCAGCTCTGTGTGGTGTACTTCAACCATGTGACTGCTTGAAAAATAAGACACAAAAACTGCAGAAAGTTGAGAGTCAAACATTGTATGACACAAATGAATAATGATCAGTGTTTACGGGCTTTCCTTTTAAGTTTGCGCCAAACGATAAACACTTCCAAACTGCTAAAGTTGTTCTTTTTTGACACTAAGTCAGCTGGTGTGTGAGCTGCCATTTTTCTGTCAGTGGGTCTCCGCGCAGTCACATGACGACATCACATTCATAAAATGTATGGATGTCCTTAAAAGTTGGAAAAAACATTTTCAACTGTTTTAAGGAAAACTGAAAATCCAATCACTCTTCTGTTTTATACTGTAAATGACTTTTATTTATCTTTTTTTATTTCTTCTTCACCCCAAAAAAAAGCTCAGAGGAAAGTTTTTACAGAAAGTGGTTGGAAACACAGCTGTGAAGACCTGAGTGTATGTTTTATTTATTTATTTAACTTGTGTTTTTCAGGAGGACAACCTGCTTGAGATGTAACATCTTGTTTTCGAGCAGGTCCTCCTTCAACACAACCAATAAAGAATAAGATGGCAGAGTTAATTAACAATAACAAATTTATAAAACTTCAGAAATAAAAAAATAAAACTGCTGTGAGTCATTCCAAGCATAAAAGGCCATTGCACTAACATTATATATAAATGCAAAATAAATTTGCATCCAAATTCATTGAGAATAATTGCCAATAAAAAACAGCAATGCTGCTAACAAATGCATGGATTCACCATTACACATTTGAAGCAAAGCAGTCACAGATCGGCTTCACATAAACTTAAACAGTGCGACCAAATAGACGAAATATTTATTTATTTATTTATGTTTTAATCCTTGTCTCCTATGTGCTCTGTTTTTTTCATGATGGTATTGGAACTGACACCTTTGTTATTTTGTAACACCTGCTGTATACAGTAATACCTCCCAAGCCTATTGGCTACAAGGGTATGATAACACAGAAATGGTTCAGAGTGGCTCAAATCTCCCCTAAGCTATTTTGTTTGTTTGTTTGTGTGTGTGTGTGTGTGCGTGCGTGTGTGTGTGTGCGTGCGTGCGTGCGTGTTTGTGTTCATTATTGTTGATGAGTCTGTAGGTCAGAAAACTGTCTTGTATCAGCTGTAAGGACTTCTGCTACATGAAGCTTTCAGTTTTCCCTGTGAGCTGCAGCCGTTCTTCAGTCATGACCTCATTCTATTCAGGAGTACATTAAAGTCAAATGAGTATAAATTGGTCCCTCAAGTGCTTTTGATCCAGAGACCTAAAAACCTCTGAATCTGGAACTCTGTTGAGGAAATCTAGTGAGTGAAAGGAGCACCGTGAGGTCCTGGAGCTCCACCGTGAGCGCCTCTTGCCAAAACCAATTGTTTTGTTCTCCTGTTGGTAGATTATGAGAGTTTGTGTCATAAATAATAAGATATTGGTCATTTAGTTGAAATTAGATTCCTTATGAACCTTAAGAATGTGATCCAAAGCTCTAAGCTAATTTGTTGCTTGAGCTTTTCTTTCCCCCTCTGTTCAATTCTACTTAAAGTCTTCCTTCATCCTCCCTCAGCTAACCATGAATGACTTCAGCGTCCATCGGATCATCGGTAGGGGCGGCTTTGGCGAGGTGTACGGCTGCAGGAAGGCCGACACAGGGAAGATGTAAGGGAGACAACTTGCTGAAGCCTTAATATTTTGTTTTAGTGAATGTTTGATTTGTTTTCATGATGGCTCTTCTGTGTCTGCATGTCAGGTATGCCATGAAGTGTTTGGACAAGAAGAGGATCAAGATGAAACAGGGGGAGACTCTGGCACTCAACGAGAGAATCATGCTGTCGTTAGTCAGCACAGGCGTGAGTTACACACCAGATGTCTCCTCGCTGAGCTTTACTTAAAGATTTTCTTGTGTTAAATGCCAGAAAAGATGGTCTTTATTGCCAAGGCAGCATGTTGGAGTCAGTAGGCTGTGTTTTAACGCAGCTTTTTATTAGATTAAGTATTAATCTATTACATCAGATTTGTTAACACAGGACACTCAAATCCTACCGGATACAGATTTTAAAGTCTTGTAGCTCTGTCTGAAAACCATCAGTGCCCAGTTATTATCAGTTCTTCTACTCAATTTTAACACTTTTGCACATCAGTCTTAACTCTCCAGTTAAAATCAGCTTCAAGTTTCATAAAGCTGCATGTTTAATATGTTTCTGCTCCAACACACCTGGTCTAAATCAGTGGCATCATTAGAACTTGGAGGGCTGCTGAACAGACTAGAGAAAATAAATGACATAAAATACACCTGATTTATTTTTTTCCTCTAGTGTTTATTAAATAAGTAAATATAACTCCTTAATCTGAGTGTAACATGCTGGCAGAGGGCCAAAGTACGTCTGAAAAACATATCAACTTGAGAAACATGATTTGTATTAATTTTGAAGTTTTATCAGTTGTTATTTGTATCAAACTCAAAAGTTTGGATGGTTGCATTTTCAAAAAATGAGCTTCTTTTTCATGTAATCTGAATTTTGACCTGGAAGCTTTCCCTTCTGCAGAACACACATTCATCTAATGTTTCTTTCTTCTCGTCTTCAGAAAGATGCTGAATATTTTTACTGAAAGCTTTGCTCATATGTTCAAAACCACATTTACTAACATCTCAAAACACAGTTTTTATTAGGGATGTCCCGATCCGATCACATGATCGGAAATCGGCCCCGATCACGTGGTTTCAGACTGATGGGGACTCGGGCTTTACTTCCCGATCCAAGCCCCGATCCGGAGTTGGATACTGGGTTCAAATTACAGCAGAGCAACTTGGTTCTCCTTAAAGGTTGTCAGGCTCCCCTGATGCCCTTAACTTACACACCCAGAAGGAGCACAAAAGAGATCCAGTTTCTACCTATTTTATATTATTTATATGGACTCAGAGTAGCGGGGATTCTTTTGAGCAGAGATGCGGAGAGCGGCAGGCAGACCGCTGATTATTCATGAACTCCAGCTGCGTTCTGCACACGGCTACAGTAACATTTTTTAAGTTTCTAATATAGAATTAACACACAGTCATTCGTGTCCGTTCATTTTCTCTCTGGTAAGTTCTGTCTGTACTTGAGCATGATGTGTGGACGCGCTCGCGCTGCAGCGCTCGTCACTGGCGCAGCCGGGCAGCGCGGTGCACACTCCGCTTTTTTGCGGTCAATAGATCAATTTGATCTGCTAGTTCAAAAGTTACTTGTGAGGTGAAAAAGAAGGAAGCAGGCAGGATCTTTTCTGGAGGACTGGGAGATGCAGGAAGATCAGAGACAGACGGGACAGGAAGATAGGAAAATAAAACCAAGAAAACAAAACAAAGTTCTTAAAATAATAAAATATAGGTAGATTTATCCCACTACACGTTTGTACCTGTATACAGCAATAATTTATCAGCGTGTAGTTTTTATGTAGTTGATACAATTCAGACCATCTTCAAAACTCCGTCCCACGCCCAGGGACGTATCTAAGCATTTTGGGGGCCGAGGCAAAATAGACCCCTGCCAGGTATTTTATGTTAAAGTGCTGTTTGTTTTTATATTAGACTTTTTATGTTTGCAATAAAGTCCAAAAGTGAAGAATTTGTTATATATTACTTGATTGTTCAAGCTACCTCACAGAAGTGATCTGTTGTTAAAATAAAAATAAAAAGGTAATTAAATAAAAAAATAAGGAACATTCTGGAACCATTTCTTCCTTTTCTTTATTTCTTTATTTTTTTATTTATCGAAAGTATCGGATCGGGACTCTGTATCAGCAGATTCTCAAAATCAAATGACTCGGACTCGAAGGCAAAAAAAAAAACCTGATCGGGACATCCCTAGTTTTTATTATAAGTTGGTAAAAATGATAAAGCTGATTGAAAATTGAGTTATATAAGTTTATACTTCTAGTGACTCCTTTCCTCAGCATGTTAGGTATAATGTTTGAAGCTGGATGTCTACATGTGCCACTGCCAGGACAGGTTTCCTTAACAAAAATGAAATCTAGTGGCATCTTAATTGTGTGATAAACTTTACTGGATCAGGGCTGGCCCTAGGCATCAAAGTGGACAAGTTGCTTACTAGAAATTGTCTGTACGACCTTTGGGTGGGTGGGTGGGTGGGTGGGTGGGTGTGTGTGTGTGTGTGTGTGTGTGTGTGTGTGTGTGTGTGTGATGAATGGGGTAAATTGTCATCTGGAATTGAGAAGTGATAATCTCGAGGGCATAAATCTTACAGCAAACACACATCATACACATTAACTACAGGTGTCCTATATTATTGGTCCAACATTAATGCCAGCCGATATTGGCATTAAAATGTAATATCAGATATTATCTATTGAGTTTTTACTCTATTAATGACCCAACCTTTACATACCATGTGCACATTATAAGCTCATTTGTTTTCCAAATTTGCCAATGCACCTTATGTTCACATTTTACAACAGCTGTAAGGGTTTGAATCTGACTAAAATAAACCTTTCAATTATTTATTTAATAATAATCTGTTCCTGAGTCAAATAAAGATATAATCCAAAGGATGAGAGGATATTTCACCTTTTTTCTTCATCATCTCATTTATTAGGCCTCTAATTTAGTTTGCATCCTTTGATTAAAAAGAGGCTGTTTTTGTTTGTTTGTTTTCCTGGTATTCAAACAGAGGGGCTTTAGATTAACTCTAGCTCTTGTGTGTGCATTTTTTTACTTAACATGGTTTAGATGTTTTTTTATTTATTACTGTGACTGATTTGGTGACTGTATTTTTAAAATGATGCAAACTTATTTCCTTGTCATTTGTCTCCTCTGTAGGACTGTCCTTTTATTGTGTGTATGACCTATGCCTTCCATACCCCCGACAAGCTGTGCTTCATCTTGGACCTCATGAATGGTAAGCCCTCCCCATTTAAAAATAAACTCCAGCCTCATTCTCAGAAAGAACGATTGGATTACTTAGCCTGTCACCGACCGCTCCGGTTGCTCCTCTTCCCCTGAGATCCTGAAGGTTGATGAGATTTTGACCTCACAGACTAAAGCCTGATTCATGCTTCTCCGTCAGCTCCAACAGGGAGAGACACGCACGCACGCACGGACAGATGTTTTGCCCTCATACTTCTCCGTCTCCTGGGGAGTGTTGCAAAGCAATTCCCCGCCAGGACAACAGAGGGCGTAGTGCTGTTCTGTGGTATCCTGTCTTGTATCCGGTCCAAGATGGTGTGTTTATATTGAGTTTTTTTGTATAGAAGAGACTTTTTAACAAGGACAAATTTGTCTCTCATCCTCCTTCACCTCTTCATGTGCTCGCCACCTCTAAACCCACGTTTCCTGTCATTTCCGTCCACAAATGCTGCGTATCTTTTCACTCCTCCAGTCACGGGGGAATTAAGCATTCATGTTTTTAGAGGTTTTTTGCGAGGTATTCTTCAAGCTTCTCCGTGTATGCTGCTAGTTATTCTCGGCTCTCTTTATGTTTTTGACGGCGCAATGGCGTTGGTGTAGACGACAGCGGTGCCCTGGCCAATTACAAGCTTGTGTTCTCCGTTTCGACAGACGGATGTTTAGAAAAGAGAGCTCGACTCCGTCCGTCCTTGCGGGGCTCTCCAGCAGGCCCGCAAGGACGGATAATGGCGTTGCGTGTCTCAGCACTGACACAGAAGCATGAATCAGGCTTCAGCTTGGCGCTGCAGTGACCCATCTGTATATGACCTAACACTCCTAAGTCGCACCTCCCTGGTGCTGTTTCTCCTGAATCTGCCAACGAAGTGGCGTGACTTTTTAAAGCTGACAAAGTCATCAGCTTGTGTTTGTCAATGCCTGGCTGTGCAGTGTGTGAGCCTCAGCTGGGCTATAAATGGTAATAATCAATACTTATTAGGAAGGATGGAGTCTTGTGGAGTAAAAAGAAGACGACACAGAAGGCTTTATAGCAATCCTCCATTTTCCTCTGAGGTTTCTAGGACTTACTAACGGGTACAGTGGCTGAAGCTAAGGAACTGTGAGATCATACTCTACATACATGGTGTGTGTTTGTATTTAGGGGGAGACTTGCACTACCACCTCTCTCAGCATGGCGTGTTCAGCGAGAAGGAGATGCGATTTTATGCGGCTGAGATCATCCTAGGTCTGGAGCACATGCACAACCGCTTTGTCGTCTACAGAGACCTGAAGGTAGGCCTGTGGTCCTGATGTTCTTCAAACCCATGGTTATGCTTCATGTCAAAAATCTCTCCAACTCTCAGTAAGGACTTTTCTTTTCAAAGGTTCTATATCTGCACTAGGGCTGTTTAACTGTTTTAACCATCAGAGTTTTTATAAACACTGTTCATGAAATGTTTGTAAACAACAGTATGTCTTTGTGGGCAATTTCTTTGCTCACTGTATCTGCCCACTGTGCAAAGACCTAGGTTAGACGTCCTACAGACGTGGTCTGGACCGACGGACTCAGTATAGACATGATCTGCACGGCCATGCAAATTTGAATGTTTGCAGGGTGATGTTTATTCATCTTTACTGTGATCAGAAGATACGCTCAATATTTTAAACAGTACTTAAAACACCAGGTGCTAAAAATAGTGCTGACAAATTTATAAACATTGTTTCAATCAGACTTAAATCAGCTTAAAACTGATTGTGAATCGAGCTCCCACAAGCTGCAACCTCATTCAGGACATGAACATGAAAAATATACATGGCATAATGATGACATTTTTGAATAAAAATGTTTTGCAGTGTAGTTAGGGACACATTAGAGTCCAATGTGGTGGACAAAATACATAAAATGCTCAAATAAATACTTGGAAACAGCTTTTGTCCATACTAGTGACCACCATAAATGAAAGGGTTAATATCACTGGCTGGTTTTATAAGCATAGTTTTACAACAATCTTTGCTGGTTAACTACTACTGCTGCAATGACAATAAAGGTTATTCTAATTCAGATTCATTGACTGCTGATCAGTATTGGTTAAACACCTCTGTGAAAGGGAGTTACTCAAGAGCAATTTCCATAAACACCAGCTGGTCATAATTAAAAACCCAGAGGTGTTTGTAAAGTGTTTCAAGCAGTGTTTATGAATCAATTCTAAAACAGTGACAATGAAGGCAGCTCTGTGTAGTTTTCCTACATGAACTACCTCGCTGATGATTAAACACAAAACTGGAAGAAGATGGACATGTTATATGAATTTTATTTCTTCATAGCAGAGTGCTTTTTAGAATAGAAAATCCCATTACTGTAACTGTAACTTAAACAAGGTACTCGTAACATTTTTACAGGCTGCTGGTTTTCTCTGCCCCGCCCCAGTTCCTGATGGAAGGGTTCTTTTCTTCAGCCCAGCAAAGAGTTGAATACTCCCAGTCTGTTTGGTACTAAAGCCTGAATGAGCTGGTATTGAGTGATCTCTAAAAGCTTGGTTTATGCTTGACGCATTCACTTTCCGTTTGGTGATGCGGCTCGCGGATGGAACGCGCTTCACAACTCGCAGAGTTTATGGTTCATGCGGCTTGTCTCTGCGGTGAGCCAATATTCTCCCAAACTGTAGGGGGCAGCATGGAGCTCTACAGCATGCATCCAACACTACACCATAGTAGAAGTAGAAATTACTGTTTACAACATGGCATTCCAGCATTTTTAACAGAGTCCTCGTCTTTTCCGACAGTGCGAGCTATTTCTCTCCAAGACTTATTAGCAACATGTTGATCACGGTGATCTCTGAGAGCTGAATCATACAAATGTCTGTATTTACGAACCTCTGCCATACTAGTTCTTGCCGGTCCGCCATGTTTTTCCTCGTCCGACCGTCCGCGTGGTTAGAAAACCTAGGTTCCTAGGTGCGTGTTGCAGAAATTTTGGGCCGTGCGGAGACGCGGTGGAGGGGCGTGGATGTTAAAATGACGCAATTTCGCCGCGCTGAGCCGTGCGGACCTCGCGGACGCGTCAAGCATAAACCAACCTTAACTCCGTTTGACTAGAATCATATATACATCAGTACTTATCATGTGTTTATTATATCATACAGCTCCTGCCTATCTAAACCTAGATAATTGTGGTGTTCTTCATTAGAGCAGCACAGTGAGGTAATCTAAAGCTGTTCCTCATAGGAAGAACGAGAATGAACCAGAATCAATTTCATAGAGCTCCGAACTTTTCTTTCCCAAACTTTATCAATGCACTCCTCGTAAAACGGCACCCTTTTGACCCTAAATACAGATTAAAACCCATGAAGTTGTCCTCAGCAGAAGCATTAGTTCCTCCTGTTAGCTAAATCTACAGCAACATCCTGAAAATGAAGCCACTCCTGAGCGGCTGTTAACAGACATCAGGAACTGTTGGTCTGAGATGCCCTGATGGTCTACTTGGGATTTCTTTGAAACAGAACCAAACTCCAAATGTAATTTGTTAATATTTTAGATGATTACTGTACCTCCCCATGAAGCGTCTTTATTACTTCAGCTGCTCAGCCTAGCAGGTCTTTATTAAAGGCAATTTGGTTTTGATGCCTGCTTTGATACCTCAAGTAAGATTTGCAATAGTTCACATTAAAACTTGTTCATAGTTTCCCACACAGTAGTAACAATTGGGCTCGCTGCCCGGTTATATTTGGTTGCTTGTTTACATTTTTCTCTGGTTTGTAATTTTTCTTAATTCACAATAGCAAGATCTCCTGCTGCATAGCTGAAAGCGGGATAACATTTCAGTCTATTTTTCTGTCGCTGACTTACATGCACACACACACACACACACACACACACACACGCACGCACACACACACACACACACACACACACACACGCACACAATCTATCAAGCATTCATATGTAACACCAGCCCCTTCAATCACAACACAAAAGAAAACACTCATGTAGAAGATAAGTTACACTATCACTAAAGAAAAGTTTAGTCTGTTAGACATTTCTAGAACTACATTAGTTTATTTTATAAACCTTTCAATTTCACATTGGTCCTTTTAGGATTAGTGTTGTCATATAATTGTAGAATTACAAAAGTAAAGGCTTTATTTAACCAGCTGTTGGCTCATAAGTCTAGTTAAGAGACAGGTAAGACATTAATAGTTAACCTTTCTCCAGAAACCCACATCAATACGTTTGAGCTGGCCTGTTTCTAAAGTGGTCTGACTGGTTTTAAACTGGTCTGACTTGCTAGAGACAAGCATATCTCTGACAAAATCAGCTATCACATCAGTGACGCTCTCCAGCAAGTGAAGGTCTGTGTCTGATAATTACTCAGTGTACTGGTTGCCTACCTGATGTGCTTTCAAACCAAGGTCCAGAATAACACCAAGGTATTCGTGTCCTCCAGGTTGTTTATTTTTTTTAACAAATGTGCTGTTGAATGCATCACTGGCCATTTAAAATAACACTAAGCAGTTTCCTGCTCTTCCGTCAGTCTGGTTAAAAGTGGAATAATAACTGTCAAACAACTCTGCAGCAGCCTGCTGTAGCTAGTGCTAACGATGAGCTAACACTAACATGAGCCAACTAATACAAAAATAAACCACATAGTAAAAAGATTGTAGAGCAAAGCAAAGATAACTGATATAAAGTTCCAAAAGATAAATCACCCCTCCCATAAATGTGTTTATTTCCTTACACACTCCCTCTCTCTATTCATGCCTGTGTGGTTGAATCCTGGTTTAAATTTGAAGCACAATGTGATGATAAAGTACTTAAAATTGGAGCCTATGACAATATCCAGACAAGCCCCCAATTTATGTTTCGACTGATCTCATCGAGCCACAACATAAAATGGAAACTTAAAACCAGGCGTGTTTATATTGCTAGAACTACAGGGTAAATTTATCGAAACTTCCTAATATGCGCGCATCTCCACTTCAACGAACAGGCTGTTTTCCGGGCCATTTTTAGGAACTTTCATAGCACCTGAACAGGGGTAGGGACTCAGAAAGGCCCAGCAGAATGGCTGAACGGAACTTTTGGTTACTTTGTGCTGATTGGTTGTAACTCGGTAGGAAAAGATATCAGCAGATACTGTCCAAAACAACCGGCATCAGGATAGATGCATGTGAGGCAGAATGGGAGCAAACAAAAATTAGCTCTGGTCGTGCTTCTTTAAAATCACTGTTACTAAACTCTCAACACCGAAAAACACAGCATAATTCCCTGGACTTCGTTTTTTCACAGAGCACCGTAAAAATGAGGCTTCACTTTTTACATCTTGCAGCTGCTCTCGTCCCCCGAATGGATTAAATTATGCTGAAGTTTGACAGAATGAAACATTTACTTGAGCTCTTATTTCTCTGAATAGAGGCTGTTCAGGAAGTGAACAGCAGGTATGACAGTAATATTTGTAACTTTAAGGTAAAACACACTTTAAAATAGCTTATATAATAATTTTAAAGGCCACTGATAAATTATAGATTCATTATGGCCTGATTTTTATTTTCCATGTAAATGAGGAGGTTAGGAATTTTCTGGGGTTTTATGAAACGGTTGAGTATGTTGTTGTGAGTGTAAGAAGTAAAAGGTCAGCTGGAGAAGAACCAGGACAGGAGGCTTTTTTATGTTTGTATCTGCTTTAGACTGCTGGGAGGAACGTGGAACTAGAGTCATGACCTAATCTTTGTTATTCAGCAGCACCTCTCACTATGTGTGTGTGTGTGTGTGTGTGTGTGTGTGTGTGTGTGTGTGTGTGTGTGTGTGTGTGTGTGTGTGTGTGTGTGTGTGTGTGCGCGTGTGTGTGTGTGCGCGCGCGCGTGCGTGTGCATGTGTGTTCTCTTCATCAGCCGGCTAACATCTTGTTGGACGAGCACGGCCACGTTAGGATCTCGGACCTCGGCCTAGCCTGTGATTTTTCCAAAAAGAAGCCCCACGCCAGCGTGTAAGTGCCCACGTTCCTTAAAAAGGAGTAGATGGATTTTATTTTTTTTATATTCTGCTGGTTTGGTGCTTTGAGATGTTTTCTAAGATCAGTGGCACAACTGGTGGAAAGAGCAGAGAATTTGATTAGCTCCTCCAAGTGAGCTCCAGCTGGCAGTAGGAGGAATCCCATCTACTTCCCATCAGATCTCAGCGACACGCATGCACACACACAAACACAACACACACACACACACACACACACACACACACACACACACACACACACACACACACACACACACACACACACACACACACACACACACACACACACACACACACACACACACACACACACACACACATCTTATGTCACATTTGTGGCAGCAGAGCAACAAGCTAACATCAAACTGTCATCTGATGTATGTGTAAAATATAAAACACTCTTCAATTATGTCATTCAGCTCCAAATTAGCCCCATATACCTTTTAGGTTTGTCACTAACAAAATGCTGAAATTTTCTTGTCTAATGACCTTTTCTCTAAAGGTTTGTTCAAAGTGATGTTGATTTTTCTGGATAGCTTGTTTTGTATCTATTCTCCTTCTCACATGTGAACATGTAACATGCTTTTAGGTGTTGTTTAAAAAAAAAACGAATTTATATTTGACCGAAGCTGTGATGTGCGTGTTGTAGCGGCACCCATGGCTACATGGCTCCTGAGGTCCTTCAGAAGGGGACAGCGTACGACAGCAGCGCGGACTGGTTCTCTTTAGGCTGCATGCTCTTCAAACTCCTCAGAGGGTAACTGCTCCAGCTCTTCTCCTCCCGCCTCCCCTTCAGGCTTCACCACTCCTCTCACATCGTCACTTTCTGTCTGCTTTGAAACTTCTCCTCCATCAGTGAAGCTCTATGAGTGCACCCTCTTCTCTCTCTCTCTCTCTCTCTCTCTCTCTCCCCCTCCCTCCCTCTCTGGCCTGTTCGCCTTCTGTTTGCTGTGTGTTTGATCTTATCTGTTTGTGAGACTGTGTGTGCGTTCATGTTTGATCTGAAGTGTGTAAATGCCATAGGTCTATGCCCAGTAGGTCAGAATCCAGGTAAAAAGGTGTATGTGCATGCAAGATGAGTTTTTCCACTGATGTTTAGATCTCTTTGTTTTGAAAACGTGTGCGTGTGTGTGTGTGTGTGTGTGTGTGCACGCCTGTGTGGGTGTGAGGCATTAAAAAAGATTGAAAATGAAAACTGGATCATACTTTATCTGCTAAAATTGTTCACTAAAGCAAGATTTTATGCCAATGTTTTTAATATAAACTATAAAATATCCTCTTTACTGATACTGAGGTTCATTCTGAGGATAAGATATAAAACAATTGTGTATTTTTAATTGTTTGCTATTCAAATGACCTTTAAATATCATGAATATAGAAACAAAATCACAACATCAGACTTGAAATGTGAAAACAAATATTTTCAGTTCAGTCTGTTAATCCACTATCTCATAGGGTTGCAGTTGTTGGTGACAAATTGTGAACCTCATTCGTGAGGGAGATTCCAAAATGTCTCAAAATGTTTGCATGGGTCACAGAGCCTCGCTGTCATGTCGTTGGTATCTTCTAACAATACATACATGCAATTGTCCAATTGCCGCCTCTGCAGCAGTGCATGGCTGGACTACTCTGGTGAATGGACTTGATGAGCTAACCACTGGTCTTTGTTAGGGTTTAGACCCTCCCAAAGTGGGTTATAACATCACTTACCCTAAAACCTATAGCAGTTCATGCACATTTATAAACCGGTATTCCAAAATTCAATGTTTTTCTGCAGTTGCCATTAGCATCGGAGCTAGCCAACTGTTGTTTGTCCAGTTTAGCATGTAGAAAAGAACTCTAGTCAAAATTTTAAAGATGTTCCCTGGAAGAGATGTGCAAAGTACAATTGACTGTGGTCGAAAAATGTAAGAAGTTTTATTTGAAAGCCAGGAGCGAGTGTGCAGTTTTTTCACGTTCCTCCTGCTTCCACTCATCGTCTCTGTTTCCTTTCAGACACAGCCCCTTCAGACAGCACAAGACCAAAGACAAACACGAGATTGACCGCATGACACTGACCATGGTAAGACACTTGACTGTAACAGCAGAGACGCACATTATACAGGACGGCTGCTCTGTGTCAACAATCGTAAAGCTAGAAGGCAGCCCTTGGTCTCAGCTTGTGTTTACCTTAAAGTAATTCCTAATGTTCGCACATTCACACACGCACGCTGTGTCCCTCAGCGTAGTGTGTGTGTGTGTGTTTATGTGTGTGTGTGTGTGTGTTTGTGTGTGTGTAAAGTTGATGTTGGCAGCATTTATGGATCACTCAGATGTACCGTGGTGAGCTGCAACAGGAATAAATGACTCTGTTGTTTGAGAATTTGTATAATCTTTTTTGTGGCGGTCTGGCTGTGTTCTCATTTTGATTTGTCACAGGAAGACACAGGAAGCAACATGGCATAGAGAAACTGAGCCAGCAGCCAGGAGTGGCTGAGGTCTGTGTGTGATTTAGTGAGAAATCTTATTCAAATCTTTTAGAAAGGCTCAATTTTACCTTGTGACAGATTTAACTTCACCAACTCCAGTGTAGCGTATTACCACATACTAGAATCAACACTGTTTGCTATCAGTTGTTAGATTCTGAGAATGATCAAGCAAATTAGCATATGAAGCTTATATCATGTATAAATATCCAGGATACTTATATAATCGATAGAGGTTCATACACCAACCTGCTCGGTCTATATTTAATCCAAAGATTAATATTTAATTTAAGATAATTAAATTTAATAGCAAAAGTTTATTTCTTTAAATCAGAAGTTAGGAATCTTTGTTTTTTTTTTTTTCAATTAACCAGAAATACACACCATTCTGTGTTTCATTTCAAAGAAAGAGTCAAGTTTTTACAGTTAAGAATTTATTACTAACAATTTTAAACTTGACGATTTGAAACAACAATTCAGAAATGACAATTCATGGATGACAATTTACCAGCTTTGATATTAAACTTTGTATCAAAAGCTTTACCTGTGTCTGGATGGAAAGCTAACATGAAATGAGAGCTTGGAGGCGTGAAAGGATTCTCAGAAGGTTTCTGTCAGAGAGAGGAACTCGTTCTGGGTGAATGCTTGTTTTGCGCCTAACTCGGTTGTTACTTAGAGAAACAGCATCAAACGTCATCTGTCAAAAGTGTCTACCTCACCCAGTTTCAGGAGACCTCCTTCTGGATCCGAGATGTCAGGTGGAGATGATTTCCTCTGGGCACGAGGCTGGTAGAAGGACCTCAATGTGACCAAATCAGTCCAGGGATGTCTTCGTGGGTCACACGACTGATGAAACTATTTGCGTCTCAAAATCAATAACTCTGAAGGAGTTTTGCGTCAGCTGGTTGCAGATGCGTTTATTCGAAGCTATTCTATCGGCGTGACAGAGCAGCAGGTGGAGGTTCAGGGCGGCCGTTCCTTATCCTCAGGATGGTGGTTGGTTCACGAACTGAAGTTACAGCTGCGGACGATTTAGTTTTAACAAACCCACAGAACGCGCCCACTCTCAGCAAGAAAGCTTTGGTCATGAGTCAAAGACATGTGATGGCAGTTTAACTTTTACCCTGGATACCCTCTGCGTTGGATGGATAAAGTGGAAGATGACTTTCTGGTTTACTGAACACACATAACCGATCATCACAAAAATCATTATTATACCAAAAGCATAATAATTAATTTCAGTAATTAAAATACATTTATACTGAACCAAGTGATTATTTATGATGATTATAATAACAGTAATAAAGTCAAAGAGTTTATTAAAATGATTATTTAAAATTATTATTGTGATCTTGAAGTGTCCTTCTTGGATGGAACAGCAGCAGATAAAGATGACATTCAGCAGCCATCACGGCTCCTGGGTTACTCTGTGGAACCAAAAGTTAAAGTCTGACCCAGCTTGAAACCCAGCTGGGAAAATATGACCTTTGTCACAAATTAGAGGCCCTTCGTGACGCTACACCAGGATGACCTAAAGAGTTATTCTTATGAATTGTAATAAATGGCAAAGTTCCTATTTGTCATAAAAATGAACCTAACACCCCACACCTTCCAAAAACATTTTCCACTGCATTTGTGAAGAAGTCCAAAGAACCATAACAGTCTCTTAAAGTTCATCCATCTGTGAGACTGCAGTACCATCAGTTCAGAGCCTGTCCTCCATATCAGCAGACAGGTGTTGGTGTATCTGCAGCTCATCAGAAGATGCCTAGGTGTCAAGAAGGGCAGCAAAGAAGCCACTTGAATAAGAAACACTAGAGACAGACTGATATTTTACAGATACAACTCAACAGTAGAATATGGTGCAAAAGTTCATTTGTCAGTAATCCTGTTTAAAAGGCCAAAGTAATGTATGAGAAAGACTCATTCCATGCAAATCCAGATATTTCAGCCTTTATTTGTTATAATTGTGATGATCATGGTTTACAGCTGATGAAAACCCCACATTCAGAATCTCAGACAATTAGAATATTGTGAAAAGTTTCAATATTCTGTAATGATTTAAATTACATGTTATTTAATAAGCCATAAGGCGTAGGATTCCATGGGAAATATGAAATCAACCTTATGGATCTGTGAGGTTATTTTAACCAGAAGATTGGAACTTTTTATTGCAGGGATTAGATAACAGCTTCGTATTCACTCAGAGACAACAGAAGAGAGAGAGTCAAGTTTAAAAGTTTAAAAATTTATTAAAAACAAATTAAACTAGATCATCTTTAACACTAAATGTATGGTGTAACTAAGGTGGATGAGATGGAGAAGGTTGTGACGTGGAATGTTGCTCAGAACCAGCAAGTCCGAAGAAGCGATTAGTTCTGATGGGAACTGAAGCTGATGTCTTTGCATTAAGCTTTGATTAGGAGATTCATAAACACATTAGACGCCATTTCGCCGGCCTTCATACCCTTAGTGGAAGTCCCTGTTAGATCAGGAATGTCGAGGTCCAGCTTGACCTTCTCTGGAACCGAAGCCGGTAGGAAAAGCAGCGGCTGCTGACCAGACCAGTCTGTGAGATACTTCCGAGTCACAACAATTTTGTTGGCGTCTAGCGAGACCCAAACCTGGGTCTTCATGGTTCAGCTTTTATTCTGAAAGGAACCGTTGCAGCAGTTGGAACAGCAACAGATTTTATTCAGCTTGTCGTTGGTTCTTTTGGCTGAAGAAGAAAGTTACGGATTGGCCACTCCGACAACTTCTCTAGAACGCTTTGAACTGATGTTAGAGATGACGTGGGCATAGTTTTATACTTCGAATGTTTTGGTTTATGGTCGAATGAAAAGTTGACAAACTTACCAAACACCACCAAAACCACGCCTCCGTCAGATCTGGCAGATTCTGATTGGATCAATAAAGTAATGTGTCATGTCTTTTAACACAACATGAGATCAGTCCTAGTGGAACATTTAAAGACATATTACTTAATATATTCTATAGGATTATAATAAAGTAATTAATATTTTGATTTCACAGATTGGTCACATCTTATTTATCTACTTAACACTTTGCTTGATTAACTTTTTAAAATAGAGTTCTTTGATTTATTAAAAGGAGAGAGTCCATTCTTCTTTCTTCTGTTGAGCTGAAAAGAAGCAGTTTATAAGCAAATGCATGAGGTCTTGAGGCCATATCTAATGCAGACTAGTTCTGTGTCAGAGGAGAGGGGGAAACAGTCATTTCATTCCGTTACAATTCTAAACTCAAAGCATCACACTAATCAGCTAATGAATCCAGAACACCTGCAAAAGGTTTTTGAGCCTTTAGATGGTCTCTCAGTGTAAGTTTATTTTATTTTATTATTTTAATAAATTGACTTTTGCCATTTTTAGCGTTTGACCTGTACTTGATGTTGAGCTAATGAGAGCTGGAGGGAAATCCTATCCTCTCACAAATCCCTTTTTGAGTGTTTGGAGCATATAGAAACTAGACTGTCTGGAGACAAATTTGAGGACTCCCATTAGTTTGGTGGCATGCTAACTACAAAGCGTTCTAAGACAGTTCATATGTGGGGGTACTTCTCAGCCAATAAAGTGGACTCTCTTAGTTTAGCCTCAGTACAGAGACATAATTAAACGAATGGGCCCTAAACGTCCTCCATGAGAAACTCCTCTGACCATCTTTGGTTCGTTCTTGCTGTGTCTGATTTCTAATTCCAATTTTTTATTTTTATTTTTCTGACCATTACAGACAGTTTTGTGTTGAACAATGTATTTTGTTGTGCGATGTAGTACATGTTGTGTGTTCATGTCCAGAAAACTCCCCAAACTAGGGATGCACAATATATCGGTATCGGCTGACGTTAATTTTTTAACATAGTATTGGGCCGATATTAACAACCGATATTTCTTCCATCTTGTTTCCATTTGTTTATCTGTTTCGGAGGGTGAGGGGGTGATGTGTATTTGTTTAGTCATGCGAACAGTTGTGATGTGTGTACATACTGTGAATTCAGCTTTAAGGGTTTTCATTCTATTTAAAATCTGATTTAAGAAGCTTTAGTGTCACTGTATTATCAGCCTTAACAGTGATATTAATATCAGCATAGACCCTTTTACTGTTTGTAAACAATATGACGTCAGCGAGAATGCGCGTGCAGCTTGGCAACAGAGAATGGCGTTGTGTCAGGCTTTATCAAGCTACGCTGCGTGGTTATCACCGGCAAATCTTGAATGTTATATTATTAAACTCACTTTAACGAATGGCAACAGACTCCCGGATCCCTGTGGCAATACGGAATGGGTGGAAGATGTAGGTGCGTGGCCAGATATCCAGTGGCCCCATATATATACGTTTTTAGTGGAGAGGCCCAGTAAGTACACACGTGAGAAGCTACGGGCATACAAATCGTTAGATGCTTACAACTATGTTGTCTGTGGCCACGTACAGAAAGTAAAATATCACGACATAGACTCTGAGTTTTGCGTCTTGAAGGCAGAAGTCCTTCCTAGCCAAAGACAAGGACACAAGACTGCTATGTACGAGGCTTGGGTCATAGTAAACAAACCAGAGAACTACGTCTTCACAGCCAACTGTACCTGCATGGCAGGGTGAGTATAGCATAGGTTTCTTTTTTTAGCATGCTCAGAGTACAATCGTGTTAATTTTAGAGAAATACAGTTTATACTAATATGCAGTGGGAAAATACAGATGAATTAGAATGAAATGTTAATTTGAAGCATGAAATAAAGCGTATAAATTTATATGTAATCTTGGTACATAATTACCTTACCTGATATAAAATGGGCGCTACAAACTCAAGCATTTCGGATCGTGTTTTCAGTCCAGTTTTCATCAACCCTTTTGATGGCCTGCAGCCACAGATGCCTCCGATTTTGTTGAAATGGATGTGCTCCCTTCGGAATTCTGTAAAGTTTCAGTCCACTGCTTGAAGAGAAGCGATTCTGGCATCCATACACGCAACAACCCGACATTTTATGTGCTCAGAACTTCAAAACAAAGGGTTTAAAACGCTGTTTTAGTATCGAGTGTGAATGAGGAAGCCTTCACTCTCGTTGCCAGGCTGCACGCGCAACTTTTGATGACGTAGGTAATAAAAGGGTCTATTGGGCCCAAAAATTTCTAATCAGTACCTCACTACCCCAAACCATAAATACCTCTGAAAACAAGTGAATCCTCAAGAGGCAGGTGGACGAACAAGGACCGAGATATACTGACAAACCCCAAGCACCGATTATGCTTAATGGGCTTGAGACCAGAAGCGGATTGAACCCATGGCAGGGTGAACTGCAGAAGTCTTGATAGGACCAAAACTGTAAATATTCATAATTAGCATCAACATGCTATCTTTTAACAGGCCTGTAAAATTTGGTCAGTGAAATGGATTTGATATAGCACCTTCTAGAGTCCTGGAACCCCCCAAGGTGCTTACAACACAATCAGTCATTCACCCATTCACACACACATTCACACCCTGGTGAGGATGATCTACAATGTAGACACAGCTGCCCTGGAGCACACTGACAGTATTTCTGTAGGAACTGTTGAAATATCTGACAAAAAGATGTAAAAACATTGACGCGCAGCATCTGCTGCATCTCTCCCCGCTCTCTACAAAGACTCTGATAGTAACAGCAGTCCGGTGTACGTTGTCTCTGTGAGGAATCCACCGCAGAACCTTTTTGATGTCACGGGTCACACTCAAGATGAATGGCGCTCATTCAGTCCGCACAATGACCCCCGCCCTCTTCTCTCGAGTTCCCAGTGATGAGCTGCAGCTTTCCAGTAGAAGAACCCGTCCAGGTCTCTCATACTGAGCCCAGTCTGGCTGAGCAGGATTCCAGACAGAGAAAGTACGATCTTTTATATCAAAATAAACCCAGATTAGGATTCTAATCCAGCCACTTAATCTGGTTTATCCTCTAATCCTGGTTTGCCTGTATTTATGTGTGCGACAGAGAGAGAGGGGGAGGTAGGAAGTGTGTGAAAGCCCTGATTGGACTAAAAATATGGCTCTGTATATTTTTATTAAACTTGATGAATGGCGTCGTTGCATAAACGACACGAGCAAACACCTGGAAGAAGGAAGAGGCAGGAGGAGATAGAGCAGGGCTCTGTGTCTGGCCCCCCGCTGTATGAAACATCTGCATGAGTCAGCTCAGTGAAGCAGTCGCTAACCTCCGTGTACCTCGGTCATGTTTTGATCCAGATTCAAAGGAGTGAGTTTGTAAAATACCTTTGAATCGGCTTCTTTTCTCTGCACAAATACCGTTAATTGGAGTATTACTTGGAAGTGTACATTTTGTGTAGTCACCTTCTGAACTCAATCTGAGCAGCTTAAAGGAACAGAAACGTTTAGCTCTGTATTAATAATAAGGTTTTTATTTATCCTTTTTTTTCTGCTTTTCCTTTTTCAACCAGAGATTCCGTTTCTGGAACAGGACTTGGTCTGGAGCTGGTTCATAACTGCTTCTTTAGCGTAAACATTAAGAGCAGGTTTCTTGAAATTCTCAGCCAGACGACCAACACAGAGATTTGTCATAACATCACATTAAACTAATCAAATAGTAAATATTTAATCCACTCTCTGGTTTATCAAAGTGGTGCCCACCTCCGGGTCCAGATGAAGGCAGGGCTTAGCTTTGGTCCAGAGTTAATGCTGAGATAGCACTCGGCCATAACTGAAGGTGGTAAGCAAGCTCTGGCACAGGCTTCTAACTGGAAACAGTTTGTAGGAAAAACCCCTCCAGAAGTGCATGTTGGTTATCCACAGTCAAGGATTAAGTCCACTGAAACAGTTGTCCAAGGAGAATAAAAACATTATTTATAAAAGTCAGTTGTCCCTAATCGGTTGACAAGTATTGATCGGAGTGCTTATTACCATGAAGGCTCCACCAGCCATGCTGTATCAGAGGCATAGTGTTGTCTGATTGTCTGGGAGGAGGAGGTGGTGCTGTGTTTCATTTAGAAGTAATAAGTACAAATGATGTTGATCTATTCTCAGATCTCTAGTCTCAGTTCAACTCTCCTCCTACTCCTCATGTCTCCTCACAGAATGTGGAGCTGCCAGAGTCGTTCACGATGGAACTGAAAGATCTCCTGGAGGGGCTGCTGCAGAGAGATGTGGCCAAGAGGCTGGGCTGCCAGGGCCGAGGGTGCGACACACACACACACACACACACACACACACACACACACACACAGAGTTAAGTCACTGTCCACGAGCAGGCAGACAAATTCATCAGTCAGATGATTTAGTGTTGGAGCTCATTAGAGCAGGAATCTCTGGGTGGTTTGTTATTGTCTGATTGAAGCTGATCAGAGGAGGATGTGGGGTGAGCTGATGGGAGCTGAGCTCATCACAGCTGCCATTCTACATCAGCATGAAGCTAAAGCAGAGTGATGGATGATGACTGAGAGGCAGGATGAACTGTGTGTGTGTGTGTGTGTGTGTGTGTGTGTGTGTGTGTGTGTGTGTGTGTGTGTGCGTGTGTGTGCGCGTGTGTGTGTGTGTGCGCTCCCATGGAGTGATATGGCCAACACTGCCGCCTTGTGTTCAGATAGTTAATAACATTTGGTGTGTGTCACCTGCAGAGCCTCGGAGGTGAAGGAGCATCAATTTTTCAAAGGCCTTGACTGGCAGCAGGTTTACCTGCAGAAGGTGAGTGAACTTCGCCCCTACCTTCTCCCCATTACGATTCCTTCATTGCTTGTTCAGTTCTCAAATGAAGTGAGTGACAGAGAATGGTGTGATTGCTTTTCCAATTTTGGAAACGGAGTTTAAATCCGCTTTAAGAATGAATTAAAACCCATTTCTGATCATGTATTTTAACAGTTGTGGTCAAATGAACAATGATCAGATTTTTAGGTTTTGATAAAAGAGAACCTAAATAAAGGGATCTGGTTTCTGTCAGCTTCTAAAAGGAAGTAAATACAACTTTGAGTGAACTTTACTGAACAAAGAGCAGAGGCTGTGTGTGAGAAACAGTTCCAGCCATGACTCAACAGTTTGTACAGCCTCCTTTTGCAGTGATGTGAAGTAGGAGGAGGAGTTTTGGTCCGTTCATTTCTACACACCTGAACTCTGTTATTGTTTTTTGTGTGTGTAGAAAGGAGCAGCTTACTGTCGCAGCCCGTCCACATTAATCAGACTCGATGAGTCTTTTTCTAATTTACCTTTAACTTGCTGACTGATGCCTGCACAGTCAGAGGTAGAACTCTTGGTGTTTAAACATTACTCAGTCTGAGCTCTGGGTGATTAAGGACAGCTCATGAGAATGATAAACACTCTGTTCTAGTGTGCCAACCAGGACCAGTCCGCATGAATCAGAGCCGAAAGTCCAGATGGGACACCCGTTATCATGTTAAATCAGTAAATGTTTGTCACTTCCTGTCGTCTCAGTGCACAGAAATAAACAGAAACTAGATGCTTTCTTCATGGTTTCCCTGATACAGTGGTGCTGTGTTTTTAGAGGTCTTCTCATTTTTATTCTGACTTTCACTTCAGATCATCCATGTCAGTGAGATTTTTCAGCCTTTGTTGAATATTCTGGTCTTGTTTTTTTGCTCTCATGACTCCTGCTGGCTTCTCTCATTCCTTAGTTCTTTGATTCAGGATGACAAATCAAAATGATCTCATCTACTTAAGGTCTGGTGGTGAGCATTGTTACCACTGGCCTTCTTTTTCTTTCTTGGTCTTTTTCATTCTAACAGAAGTAAGATTTTCTTTGTACCATTTAGATTTTGTCACCTTTATTTTTGAACCTTTTCCATGAATAAACATTACTTTCATCAATGCTGGTAAAGTTTAGGTTATATTTGAGTTCCACCAAAATAAGAGTTTCCTTAAATAACAAAATTATCTCACTTGTTTTTTATTTCTTCCTTTTTGGGTCCAACTGTCAAAAAATGAGGAATGGGATACTATGAGAGGATAAAAGTTATTTTCTGATCCCGTTATGTGCCATGGATGTCACATATGGTGTCGGTGACTGTTAAAGATATGTTTGATGCCAAGAAAGTACTTATTTTCAAACTAGGGCAAATATTATTTTAGGTTTTGTGTGAAAATACGTAGTGGACTACAAATGTTTGTCTCACCAAATTGATGTAACCAAACCACAACTGGAGAAAATAAGATTAATTTAGGAAGCTTTGAATCCTTCTTCCAGGATGGCAGAAGAAGCATTAAACATTGAGAAAACCACTATAAAGTAGTTTGGAGATCTGCCGCTCCTCCACGTCGAGAGGAGCCAGTTGAGGTGGAATGGGCATCTGAGTAGGGTGCCTCCTGGATGCTTCCCTTGTTTTCTGGGCATGTCCAACCGGGAGGAGACCTAAATGAAGACCCGGGACACGCTGGAGGGACTTTGTCTCTCGGCTGGACAGGGAACACCTTGGGATTCCCCCGGAGGAGCTGGCCAAGTAGCTGGGGAGAGGGGAGTGTGGGTCTCTCGGCCTTGGCTGCTGCCCCAGTGATCCGACGCCAGTTGAGTGGCAAAAAATGGATGAATGGATCTTCATACCATCTGAGCATCTGAATCTTAATCCCAACATGTTTTCGTTTTTATTATAATTTCTCCTAAATAAAATAAATCTCAGACTCTGGGGATAAAAGCTGCGCTGGATGGAGTGACAACTCACTGTGGTTAGTGTAACCGTGGAAACCAGGGGAAGCAGCGCTGCACGGGGATAGCCATCTTGTTCTTTGGTTAGTGATTGGGTTTTCCTCCCTCAGTACCCCCCTCCTCTAATCCCGCCCAGAGGAGAGGTGAATGCTGCAGACGCCTTCGACATCGGCTCCTTTGATGAAGAGGACACCAAGGGCATCAAGGTAAAACGTCATCCTGTCCATGTGTTTGTCTGTGTTTAGTTTCCATCACTGGTTCTAGGGTACAGTTAAATCTCCAGCCCTGCACATGGAACGTTGCTGCTGCATTTGGTTGTTTTCTAGTGTTTTACAGCTCCCTCCGATTATTAAACTTCTAAAGCAAAGAAAAGTTATTATTAAACTCTTTAACAACTAAAACAGTTTTACGTCTTTTAGATGTTTGTGTTTTCAACACAAACTACTAAATTTGTCTTCCTATCTCTCTGGCCAGTGTTGAATGTGTCGAGGATCCCCTCTGCAGCAACGTCTCTTGTTTACTAGACTTCCTCAGTTTGACTGCTGGACTGTTATTGCTTCGTCCCTGAACCTGTTGTGCCGTCTCTTCCTTCAGCTGCTGGACAGCGACCAGGAGCTGTACAAGAACTTTCCTCTGGTCATATCAGAGCGCTGGCAGCAGGAAGTGGCCGAGACGGTGTACGAAGCAGTCAACTTGGACACGGACAAGATTGAAGCTCGCAAAAGGGCCAAGAACAAGCAGCTGGGCCACGAGGAGGGTAAAGAGACCAGCCATAGAGCTGCTGGTACTGGGTGATGAATGCTGTTGGGTTTTTAACGGTGTGTGTGTGTGTGTGTGTGTGTGTGTGTGTGTGTGTGTAGACTATGCCTTGGGGAAGGACTGCATTATGCACGGCTACATGCTGAAGCTGGGGAACCCGTTCCTCACCCAGTGGCAGCGCCGCTACTTCTACCTGTTCCCCAACCGAGTAGAGTGGAGGGGGGAGGGCGAGTCACGGGTGAGTCAGCCTCACAGCGCACACACTCTATGACATCGCCGTTCATGTTCGTTCTGATGTGAGTCAGCTCGTCTGTCTGTCCTGTCTCCCCCCTGAAGGAGAGGTGGCTAAAACCTTTTCACAAGCAGAGAGATGTGGTGAGTGTTGCTACCAGGCCCCAGATAGAGCTCCGTGGTCCTGTAGCGCGCTCCTGTGTTTACACCCCCCCACCCCTGCCTTCAGCAGCCCCCAGTTCAGCTTCATGTCCATGCTGCTCTCAGTCTTGGAGACATTTAGATTAGAGGGGATGGAGTTGTACCTTCTCGCTGCAGCTTGATGGATTAGTTCCTTTCTCCCTGAAGGTCTACAGAGTGAATACAGAGCTTGGTTTGGTGGCAGCACAGAGCTCAGTTATGCATTTGTATATGAAAGGCAAGAGTATTTGATGTATAACAGATTAAATGTATGTGCATAAATTCCATATTGAAGGGATCAAGAACATTTGGAAGGCAGATGCTGGAGTTTTACTGATGTTCAGTGGAAAATTCCTCACACATTTGTTATTATTGAAATGTAATTATCCTTTTCATTTTTGATGCTTATATGAAAGGAGTGGGTTATATATCGTTCATGATTATACAGGTAAACTTTTTTTTTTTTGTCGGGCAAAGATGAATAAAATCCAGAAAAGCTAATTAGATGATGTAAACACGTACGTTACGCGCACACGGGTCATGCTGGAGTCTGTGTTCACTCACGTCAGTGAGTAAGGAACAAGTCGTGGTAGTTTCTGAGGTATTTTGACTGCTGCAGGCCCCCGTACCTGTTTGACCTGTCTCTGCACACAAACAAGAAAAGCAAATAATGGGCAGCCATGATGAAAAGGCTAGCTGAAACACCAATAAGGGGCAGCATTATCAAGTCAAGTCCACATGACCAGTTCTTTCTCCAGTTTTCTAGATTTAGTGTTTTTCTTTTGTTATGTTTTTAAACCACCTCAGACAGGCTTAAAGCTTCTGTTCTGCAGCTGTTGTAGTTCCACATAACCTGTTTGCCAAGAACAGACCCCAGAAAACATTTGTATTTCTTAAAAATGTGTTTGGGACACTGGTTGTTTCTTTTAAAAGTTAGAATTTCTATCCTACTTGTTGTAGATGGCCTCCTCTGTTCAGAGGAGTGGTTTACGTGTTTCAGAACCGACGAGGTTACAGCTCGTCTGAGTTCAGCTAAGACCAAAGTATGTTCATCTCAAAGCTGCTCCAGATTTCATAGTGACGCGACCCTGTAACCCTTCAGACTACCATCAGTCTGACATAGAAGGTAAACAGCAGCAGCAGTGAAATGGATGAGCAGGGCTCACTAGGAGCAGTTTCAGGCAAAGCGAGGTCTAGCTAGCATCGGTCCTGAAGGACTAAATATCCTCAGCTGTTGGTCTTTTATGAGTAAAAGTTCATTTTTTTTTCCAGGTTTGTCAAATTCTTTGTTCTCACTGAGTTTTTAGACTTATTTAAAAGGCCAACAATAGAAAAAGTTAAGCTGAAATATTTGTACGTTCTGTTTTAGCATCAGTGCTAATCACATGATAAACACCACATGGGCGTTGTCTGACTGGTTCTGGTTTTTAAAGGCGTTGAAATATTTTTGGGATTTTTTTCACAGCAAAACCTGCTGACAATGGAGCAGATTGTGTCGGTGGAAGAAACACAGATTAAAGATAAGAAGTGTATCCTGCTGCGCATCAAAGGAGGGAAGCAGTTTGTTCTGCAGTGTGAGGTGAGCCCTCTGTCCAGTGTTGGTTTCTGAGCCGTGTGGGTCAGAACCGATGTGACGGTTCTGTTTGCTGATGTGTCCTCAGAGCGACCCGGAGTTTGTGCAGTGGAAGAAGGAGCTGACGGAGGCCTTCACAGAGGCCCAGAAGCTGCTGCGCCGTGCCCCCAAGGTCATCGGGAAAGGTCGAGCGGGTGTGGTGGAGCTCTCCAAACCTCCCCTCACACACCGTAACAGCAATGGCCTGTGAACACACACACACACACATTTATATAAATATACACACACTTTAACACAAACTTCATCACTGCAAGACATCTGTTATGACTTCCCCACGACGCCTAGCAGTGTGTACAGACCCAGCAACCCCACCCCCAAACACACACACCCCACATGATGACCAATCACAGGAGATTTCATCATTTCATTTGAATATTTCATCCAGTCACAGAAGGAAGGAGGAATTCCAGGAGAGAGTTCAGTATGGGGGTGCTTTGGCAGCTCAATCCGATCCTTGCTCAGCCCCCCCCCCCCCCCCCCCCCCCCACACACACACACACACACACACATATATCCACCTCCACCTGCTCTGTGTAGATCACATGACCAGTACTCTGATTTACATGGAGCACCGTGGCAACCTGAATAAGTCCTCCAATAGAAACAGAAATGAATTAAGTCCAGAGCATGAGATCCCCCACTTACCCACCTCCCCATCTCTATCTGAGCATAGGTGGCTGGACCGCTGCGGGGAACACACACACACACACACACACACACACTGCTGCTCCTCTGGATCATCCCTCCATCACACCGTAACTCCTTGATGTGTGCCAAGTGCCAACATGGATATTTTACTTGAGTCACCTGAGCAGCCAAGAGGCCCTGCCCCCTCTCTCCACCTGCAACAAAGAGGAGGTGGGGGAGGTATCGCTAGCTGCAGCTGATCATTCCAGTCCAGGAAACAGGAAGGACCACAGACTCTTTACAGATTGGTCCCTATTCAGCCCGTTACCATGGAGACTGAGATTCCATTGGCTGTCAAACAGCAGCCTGTTGCTATGGGAACTGTGGAGACCAGCGTACCTGGGGATCCACGCACGACACTGTACCTAATGTGTATGAAGTCAGGGTGGGTGGGACCTCTGATTGTGGGCGGGGCCTATGAGTGTATATAAGCAAACCTTTTCTCTGTGCATCTCCAGTGTTGTAGTCCTTGTGTTTGTTTGCATCTTTAGAAAGCTCCGTCCTTCCGACCGTCTCTCCAGGCTTTGAGTCAGACGAGGGCTTTGGGTTTATCCTGCCGGGGGGGTGGGGGGGGTGGGGGTGGGGGGGTATGAACAGACTGGTGTCAGACCGCTTTCACAAACACACCTATACACACACACCCCAAACATTTTACACGTTCTCACGGCTTCTATGATGGACAGTGTTTAGGGAGGAAGAGGAGGAGCTCAAAAGGAAATGTCTCCCCTCAAGTGCACAGAGTTATGGTAGCAAATTAGATTCATGCTAGATTATCTATAAAATCCAGAGATTAAAGTCATTCACAGACTAGTGAAACCTGAGTGATTAAAGGCCTGAATGTACATGAATTAAATTCTATTTCAGTTAAAAAAAACTGCAAAACTTGCATGCTTACTGAAATAGACTTTTAAATCTGCCAGGACTCAATAACAGTTTTTTGCAGAATAAAGCCAGAAAAATACAACATAGAGAACACTCAGGTGTTCGTGTAACTTTAGTTTGTAAGAAAATGATTGCTTTAATGAAAGAGTATTTCAGAGTGTTTTAATTACAAAAGTATCAGGCTACCTAAAGTCATGTATCGGTTCTTTCCCATCACACCCAGTTGTTTTATTTTTGTTTATTTTTTCAATTCTAAAAGTTTTTATTTTTAAATATGGACTGGTCCAAATATGTCTCTGCTACAGTTAAACTGTTTTACATACAATCCTTTAAAAAATCTTTTTCACTCTTTTTGTACTCTGACCTGCATCACCGACTACATTTCCCAGAAGGTTCCTGTGTTCTCCCAAACGGAGCATCACTGTTAGAGGGGACAGTTCAAACTGCTCGTTAGATTCAAACATAATAATCTGATCCCAGATCAGAAACAATTGAACGCGCTGGGTGTTTTTGCTTTAAACAGTCTGACGTTGTGATTTTCCCTCTGGGAATCTGATCCAGGAAGTGAAGTGTCCTGTCACATTCTGGACTTCTTTAGATTTTTCTCAGGTCCAGTTGGTACCAGAATTAAGAGTGAGCATACCAGCTATGTGTTTAAAACCAGGGGCAGGTTCTTCCTTTTGTCTCACTGTATTATTATTTAATTCTCACACACAAATCAAATAGTCTTTTATTAAGTTTATTTTTGTATCAAATGCTTGTTGGCACCTCTTCTTTTCATGTATTTTCCATCCATTCTGCTGTGGGGGTCCACCTTTACGGGGAGTCAAAAATACCATTTTCACTTGGCAGGTTTTCCAGCAGACTCTGAGTTATGCTTTGAGAGTTGGACGTCCCAAAAATGTGGCTGCAATGAGTTTGGAAAAAAAAAAGCAGACATTAATAGTCGGTTTACCTCCTGTTAGTTTTCAGGGTGGAGTTTTCCTCCTTTTTCCTGTTTTTATTCAGTTTGCAATGAAGTGAATTATTATTATTATTATTATTTTTTTTTTTTTACTTTTATTTTTATGACCGTGGGGTTTGTGGTTCCACTCAGACCTGGTCTCGGTTTGCTCACCTGAAGAACATGAAGTCCCAACGTAAAAGATGAGCAGCAGCAGGAGGAGTTGTTTGTAATTTCAGGGTTTTTATTTCACATGCAGGACTTGTCTGTGACGTCCAGGCATGTCTGTAACACCAGGCGCTTGGTGGGAAAACGTTGTGGTGACCTTTTTAATATTAAGCCTTTACGTCACGAGGAGATCTGATTGTTCTACAGAGAAATGTTGTCTTTTATTTTTGTAAACCAAAATGGGTTTTTATTGTTTCCTTTGAAATTTGTGTTGTTGCACCTTTTTAGCCCGATGTTACTTACTGGTTGTTAAATGTGCCAAATAATTCCTGAAGAGTGAGTGGAAAGCAATGGGAAGCTGGAACTTTGGACCTTCTCGACATGGACACAGCCAAGGCAAATGGAGACACTTCACTTCACCTCACACACACACACCCACACACATATTACATAGGATGTCGATAGAAGAGTACAAAGCTGTGACCAAACTTTCGTCCATTGCTGTGTGGGTGTGCAAGCCTATGTGAGCTTCATTAACACCTGTGGTCATTCAGTTGACTTTTTTAATTTTTTTATGTCACACACACATTATCTGCTCACACACGTGCAACACAATAAAGGTGGCATATAGGAAAAAAAAATCTAAGTATATATAAATATATGTGTATAAGAAATGACAAAACGCTCTAGGTTTATTTAAAGATTTTAATGTAGAAATGAACTTGTTGAGGGGAGCTCGGGTTTCCATGTGAGTGTAACTGTTTGTAGTGAAGACTTCAGCTCAACTCTTGCACATAAAGACTTATTAGAGATGTTGTACCTGCAAGTTGCGGATGATTATTTTTGTTGGAACGCCGGACTCTGCTCTTTCATATTTATTGTGTGCGTGGGGAGCCTGCTGTGCCTCTCCTCCACCAGTTGGAGCTGTATAAACCCCTCTGGTTTACACCTGTCAGATATTCTTCTTTTTGTTTCATATGCCACAAATACTACTGCTTTTGGGTTCATGAAATGACTGTCATAATAATACTGATATATGATGATATTCAGTGATTATTAAAGAGTTTTTATTTCTAAGAATGTTTTTGTTTCAGAGACAGGTAGGACGTTGCGTGCTGGACTGCTTGTAAAATCAGTTCATGAATAAAAAATACTTTTTTCGTGGTGCTTCTTGTCAAGTCTGATTTGTTTATTTTTTTTAATAGTCTGCATTACTTCAGTGTTTGTCACATGACCACCAAAAAGAAATGAGTTCCAAATTCTGCTGTCTGCTGCCACTCTACGGCAGCAGTGCTGATCTAAGCGATTCTGGGTTTTCATTTATTTTTTGCCCTGAGCATGATTTGTAAGGCATTAGTTCCTGCCAGAGGCCACTGCAAATGATTAAATGGGTTTTCAACACCTTTAAAGAGACAATGTGTAGTTTTTACTGTTAATGTCGGGAAATATCCATTGAAATGTTGTTGAAAATTAATGAAATGATGCCCAGTTGTAACATGTAACCATATAAATCAGGTCTGAAATACACGGGAGCGGGTCTAAGTCTCTGGGTGATGCCTTATTAGACACAGTTTCCATCTATGGGAGCCTGTGAGGACAAAACGCATTTACTGATTAGTAACAAACTCCACTCAAACGTTTTACACATTTACCTCATCACTCGTTGCCAGTAATGAAAGGGAGTCTGATGTGCTTGTCCTTTTGCTGGAAGTTGTGCTCCCAGGAGTTTTTGACCCTAATGGCCATCTCTTGGTAAGAACACACAAATACAACTTGTTTGCAATGATTTAGATATGTACTACCCCCTATCTCTCCAGGGATAACACACGCTGTCACTTTAAAACAGAAATTCTGAGTTTTTGTCACCAACAATCCAGGGAGACATGTCTACAGGCCACAGGTTTTTTTACACAGGTGCTTTACCATCGATTTTATAAACAATGTTTTCAAATACTATCAATGGCTGTGTCTCAATTAAGGGTCTGCATCCTTCGAAGGACCCGGCCTACTCGGCCGACGTGGGCTGGGTCCTCCGTCGGCCGGGTAGACCGGATGTTAACGGCTGTGAATTTGGACAGGCCTAGCCTTCATGAATTCCCGCCTCTCCCTCGGCGAACGTTCCGTCGCCTAGCAACCGTGGAACCGCTGAGCAGAAGGGAGAAGGAACTTTAAACGATGGAGCTCGACGTTTTATTTAGATCTTTAATAATTTCCTTGACTGTTGGAGAGCTAATTCGGAGAAAATACTTTCGACAAGCTGAGCAAAGATGTGATAATAGTTTTTAATACTTTCTAAGGGTCTTAATTTGACCAAAGCCGATTTATCACCTTTTAAGACTTTTCAGACCCAGCGGGATACCCTCTAGTAAACAATTCTCATTTGTAAACCAAAATAAAATTCAAGAGTTTAATGCAGACCTGATTTTATTTAGATATTTCTTTTATATGTACATGTTAAATCCTAATTAACCATTTTTTTCTAGCAAAGTAAAAAGCTGTCAAAGTTCTTCCTTCTCTCCTGTGCTCTCTGCTGCTCTGCCTCCCTCTGCAGCCTCATGTCCTCCCTGATCAGCTCCAGAAGCTGGTCATCGCTGTCACCTTCCCCTGGATGCCCATTTTCTCCAGAATAGTCTTAACAAACATGTAAGAAAAGAAACAGGAAGAGAAAGGAGGACAACGGGTTATTCCTTTCATGTTTTCGCAGAAAAAACTAAACTTAAAATATGAGATGTTATTGTACCTCCATGCCACAGCCGCCGAATACTTTGCTCCGGTGATCATGTGGTCCATCTCCGCCCTAAGCTTAATAAATTCCCTGGTTTTCTCTTTTGTCCCTAAAATACAAACTTCTATTAAAATCAGGGGGAAAACGTAGCGGGAGAAGTACGACACCGAGCGGCCGAACATACGAGCCGAGACCGTAATACAAGCACTTCTACTGTAACATTTCTAACTAAAATAACGTTCATGTATCACAAAAAGTCCTTAACCTAACAGTTTTCAAGTTTATACTGACATTTATATGCGCAATCCTCTCCGACAGCTCCCACTTCACTGTCCGCCGTTTTTCTGCCGGCCGGCCTGCAAGGGAAATGCTACCTATTGAAGGATACACCCGACCCATCCTTCATTCAGGCGAAAAGAAGGCCGCATTCGTCGACCGCATTTGAAGGAGTCTTCGAATTGGGACAGGCCTAGTCGCGGCGCTGTGACGTAACCGGCCGACGAATCCGGCCGATGTAGGATGCAGACCCTGAATTGAGACACAGCCTCTGACTGGTGCTTGTTAAGAATCGTGACATTGTTGAAAATCGTTTCCTACACCTATCTTCTGCATTAGCCTCTGAAAGGAAAAGGGTATGAAAAGCTTGACATCTTTGCTCATGATGGGGAAGGCTGTTGTTTTAGCATCCAGAATCAGCAGAGGGCGTTTGGCTAGTAGACGCTAACCGTTAGCATTGGCAAGTCACCACATGGCAGAACTCCTCCAGACTTGTGATATTTGTGGAGATATAACATAAGTGTTGCATAGCAAAAAGTCAGTAGTAGAGTAGTGTTGCTGTTATCCAATCTGAGGCTAGATGTCAGGATATAAGGCTCCATATGCTGTCGTATAAAGCTCTCATCTGATGTTGTAGACTTGTCTATGTAGATGCAGGCTTTTTTGCCCCGAGTGTGCCTTGCAAGGTGTTTTCTCCTACCAGAGACCACTACAAATGTATTGATTAAATGAGTTTCCCCACACCTTGAAACATTTTCACTGGTTGTTCAAACTGAGCCCACTTCCTTTTCCTGATGCTTTGCTCTACTGGTTCGAACCCAGGCTTGTTCTGTCCAGGCAACCACCCTCACCTGCCACCCAACACTGCTTATGCCCTTCACCACATCCCTCAGGTAGTTTTATCTTCTTCAGCCTGGACCCAGCCCAACCCAAGGAGTTCAACCATCAGGTGAGAGTGGACAAACACTACTCCAAGGTCACCTGTCCTTAGTGGCTGTCCTCCACCAAAGTCCTTTATCTGCTCCCGGCCCTGAGACCTTTGCCATGAGAGACACAACCAGGGGTTGATGTCCTAGTCAAGACGATCTCCCCAGGGTCATTGGCGTATTCAAACCTCTCCATTGTGGTAAGAGTGATTCAGAGGAGATCTACTCTGGCACAGCTGATGTAAGTGTAGAAAGTAGATCAACACTTGAGATTGGGAGCTGGGGTTTTCTATACTGATGCCCGTAATTAATTTGCACAGTGTTGATTTCTTTCTTTCTTTCTTTTTTATAAAAAGGGTTTACGATTTGAGAGAATTGTAATAAAAGGCTCTGTTTGGCTGTGGGTAAATTTCTTCAAAATACAAAATGCTATATAAATGTATGTAAAAATGTTTAATTAGGTGCTCTTTTCATTAGATTTCATTCGTTTTCTGTCATAATGCCATGCACTGAATTGCTTATTTGAATAATCCAGACCATCTAAGGAAAAAGATAAATGTGTGCAGAATGATGCGAGAAGAGCCTTCTTACAATAAATAAAACAAGAAGACATCACTTTAAAAACACATCAAATAGAATCAAGCCAGCATAAGTTATGAATGTAAACACTTTCTGTTACAGTCCGTTCCTCCCAGAGACCAGTAGACTCCTCCTCCTCGCCCCTCTCTCCTTCAGCTGGAGCTGTCAATCAAAGTGGACAGCTGATGCAGTGTGCCTTCTGGTTCTGCTGGGAACAGCCGGCTCTCCGAAGGCTCCAGGAGCCAGGTCTGCTCTTTGCCAGCGGTCCTGCTGAGGCCTCGCTCACAATCAGAGATCTTTAATGTTTCTCCTGACTACAGGAGTCACATTAGCAGTCCTAAAACCAACATTCAAAGCTCTTTGGTTTAATGGAATCGAGTTTATTTTAGGAATTTTTATTGGTTGACTGTTTATTTTTCTAGTTTATAAAATAAAGTAAGAGTTTGTAGGATTAACAGGTTATTTTTTCTTCAGCTACTTAAACGTGAGTCTGCTGCCTGTTTACGGTGCTGGCATTTGGTGAAACTTGGATTGTGAACTAAAGCAAATAAAAACAACAGCAGGGTTTTATGAACCACAGTAAAGGTTCGGTGTAACGTCTCTTTCTGTTCTCCAAACAGGGTTGTGTCTTATCCCTCCACCCTCAGATATTTATAGAGGGGTCGTCTGTCAGCTCGTCCATGCTGCTTATCTGACTGTGTGTGTGTGTGTGTCTATTTCTGACTGATTGCTCCATTCCCCCTCCGTCAGTTGTACCCAGGGGGAGTGTGTGGTGTAGTTGTGTGACGGTGGGACCCTTTCTAGGCCCTAGCAGGATTTGCCACCAGGCTTCTGGATCTCCGAGGCGATTCTTCAGGAAGGTTTTCCGTGTTTGTGTTCTGTCTCGTCTACACACACGTTTAAAGGTAAAGACGCTCTCTAGGGTTAATTTCTACATGGTTATTTGGGGCTGATGGTGACTGAGATGTGATATTGGCCTCAGGCAGGTCGTAACACCAGTTCAGTCTCCTTTGAATGAATCAGCCCTCTGTTTTGGATTTTTTATTTATTTATTTTTTTATATCTGATGATCAGATACAGGACTTTTCTTTTAGTCCTTACAGCCGTGCTTGTTCATTTATGTGATTGACAGATTAACCCCAGTGTCACTATCTCAGCTGAGATGTAAAATTATTGTAGACCTGTTCACTGACAAAACCTTCTCTAAAGATGTGAACACAGAGATTTTTTAAAGGTAGTGGACGCTTGTCCTAGTCTTGGTTACCTTCATTGTTTTTGTGATTGGATAAATTGATCACACATGCCTGTATATGCCAGTGGTTTGATGTCCATCTCACGTCCCAGAATTAGATCAGAAAGATAAAACTACAAGATGGAAACTTGAGAGGATTTGAATAAACAACACTGATAAAATGTGACTTGTTTGGTGAGAAACACCAAGGTCTAACAGTGAGATGCACAAATTAGTTTAATAGATTGTTATGGATCGAGGGAATAGGACAGGAAGTCTTGATTAGTGAGAACTAGAAATTCTACTTTTAGACCTCAGACTAAACTTAGACCTATAAAGATGTACGTTGAGTTTAGAGATAATCAGCATGAGATGTTAATTGAAATAAAAGCCATTGTTTTAATCCTACATCTTACAGATGTGGACAAAATTATTGGTAACCTTCAGTCAATGAAAGAAAAACCCACAATGGTCACAGAAATAACTTGAGTCTGTCTAAAGTAATAATAAATAAAAAATTCTATGAAATTTATCCAATCACAGTCAGACATTGCTTTTCAAACATTCTTCAAAAGAGTTATTAAAAAAATAATAATAAACTCATGGAACAGACCTGGTACCCCTAAAAAAAGACTGAAAATAATGTGACCAAAGGGACTTCTTAGTTCAAGGTGTGTCTGCTAATTAACATATCAGGTGTCTACAATCTTGTAATCAGTCAGTGGGCCTATATGTATAGGGCTCCAGGTAGTTACTGTGTTGTTTGGTGACATGGTGTGTACCACACTCAGCATGGACCAGAGGAAGCAAAGGAAAGAGTTTTCTCAGGAGATTAGAAAGAAAGTGATAGAAAAGCATGTTAAAGTGCTGTAAGACTATCTCCAAGCAGCTTGATGTTCCTTTGACTACAGTTTCACATGCTTTTCATAAATTTAAGATCCATGGGACTTTAGATTACCTCCCTGGATGTGCCCACAGGAGGAAAATTTATGACAAATCAAAGAAATGGATAATCTAAATGGTAACAAAAGAGCCCAAAAAAATGTCTAAATAGATCCAAGGTGAACATCAAGCTCAAGGATTACATCAGCGTCAGATTGCACCATCCGTCGTTGTTTGTGCCAAAGTGGACTACATAGGAGACGACCAAGGAGGACACCATGGTTGAGCACAAATCATAAAAAAGCCAGCCTGCAATATGTCAAACTACATGTTGACAAGTTGCAAAGCTTCTGGGAGAAGGTTATATGGACAGATGAGACGAGGTACATCAGCTCGATGTTCACACATGGAAAAATGAAGCATATCAAGAAAAGAACACTGTCCTTACAGTCAAACATGGAGGAGGTTCTGTTATGTTTGGCCTTCTATGAGTCCCAACTTCAATCCTATTGACAATCTTTGGAAGGAGCTGAAATGTGCCGTCTGGAAAAGGAGCCCTTAAAACCTTAAACAACTGGAGCAGTTTGGTCATGAGGAGTGGGCCAAAATACCCGCTGAGAGGTGCAAAAGTCTCATTGACAGTTGCATGAATCGTTTGATTGCAGCAATTGCCTCAAAAGGTTGTGAATCAACATATAAAGTTAGGGGTACCATCATCGTTGTCCAGGCCTGTTCCATGAGTTTATTTTTTGAATAATATCATTGAAGCATGGTTGAAAAGCAATGTCTGACTTTCAGTGGTTACATTTCATAGAATGTTTATTTACTATTAATTTAGTCAGATTCAAGTTATTTCTGTGACCATTGTGGGTTTTTCGTTCATTGGCCAAAGGGTTCCAACAGTTGTGTCCACTTCTGTACACGTATACATTTAACTGACCATTATTTGTGTCTCTGGTGTCACTTTTAGTATCATCTGCTTCCTGAAGACCAAATCGTTAAGTCTTGCTTTGATACAAAACTGATATTTGGTGGATTTCTACTTTGAGTAAACCTGTGTCTGAAGTTGTTCCTGGGATCTGTTGGACCACCTCTCCCAGTACGGGGGTCGCAACCTCAAGCGCTCCAATACCCAGCTGCTCCACTGCAGCCTTGACTTTCCACAACATCTCTTTTTTGTCTTTCAGCTGATGGGATTTCTCAAGTTTCTTCCTGATGAAACATCTGTTACCATGATCTTGTTCTGCTCTTTGTTGATCACCGTGATGTTTGCTTGATTGGCAATCACCTGTCAGTCTCAGTCTGGAAGTCTCCTCTGCCTTGTCCTTCCTTGCGGAGGATTCTCCCACTTAGACTTTGGAACCTCCTGTTCATACTCAACACAGATGTTCTTGCTCACCATTCCAGCCCCTTGGCTGTGGCGTTTCATGTAGGCATTGTCTGCTTGTATCTTATGTCCCGCTGTTATGTGATGAACTGTGTCAAGAGCATCTTTGTTCAGCCTGCATCTTGGGTCCTGTCTGGTGTGGTAGACCCTGCTGCCTAACACTTAGCGGTTCATCACTGGGGGGTTTCTTACAGATGTTCTCCAGTGTCTTTGTTGTGTCACCATGTGGTATTGTGGTTCTGACACTCATTAGTCCTCGACCTTCCTCCTTTCTTGGTGCCAAGGTAACGTGAGTTTTCTTGTCTTCCCTTTATCTCCCTCATGGCTAGGCCACTCAAAAACATTGGTCTGAAACAGTTTTCATCACTTAAGAAATATCTCCAAACTGTGAAGGTTGGTCTCAAAACATGAACTTGAAATGGTCATCCATGCCTTTATCTCCTCCCGTCTACATTACTGTAACACACCTTTCACATTTTTTAACATAAAAGCCCTGGACCGCCTTCAGATGGTCCAGAACTCTGCGAGGCTCCTAACTGGAGCAAACCGAAGAGCACACATCACTCCTATTCTAATGTCTCTGCACTGGTTACCCGTTAACTTTAGAGTTCATTTTAGAATCCTGACTATAACTTTCAATGCTCTCCATGGTCAAGCCCCTCCATATATTACTGAGCTGTTAAAGCCTTATGCTCCAACCCGAGCCCTCAGGTCCACACACCAGAACCTTATAGAAGTTCCCAAAGCCAGATATAAAAGTCGAGGTGATCGTTCCTTCCAGCCTGTTGCACCTTGACTTTGGAATGATCTTTCTTTATCCTTACGTAGCATTGAGAGTCTGGACACTTTTATAAAACAGCTAAAGACCCTTTTATTTAAAGCTGCTTTTACGTAAAGCTTTTATTTTCTTATTTTTAACTCAAATTTGTAATCTTCTTTCATCTGTTTGTGAAATTTTATAATTATATGACATTTTATCTGATGTTAATCTATTTCTATTTAGAGATCATTATGATTTTATGACTTTTTTATTTTGCTTCGATCTATGTGAAGCACTTTGTGATTCTAAGTCTGTGATAAGTGCTATATAAATAAAAGTTACTTGCTCAAGGACACAACAACAGATATCTCTGCCCAGGATTGAACCTGCAACCTTCCAATTACTAGACAACCTTCTCTACCTCCGGAACTACTGCTGCCCTACAAATGTGATGGTTTGCATGTGCATACGTGTTGATGGCTTTAACTTTGTTCTTATTCAGCTGGCTCTTCAGGACCTGCCATTCAATTATAAGGTTGACCTGAACATCTGAAATGTTGCCTTCAGGTAGTTCAGCCTACTCAGTTTTGATCACCTTGGATATCGTCTGATCAGTTTTCCAGTCTGAAGGACATTCCAGTATCTTTGCTGCCCATCCTGGTGAGGTGGGTCCGGGAGTCGATCTTAAAGCTTGATGTCATCCATGTAGATGAGATGACCACTCCAGTCTGGAACCGGTATCCATAGCCATGTTTAGATGTAATCTAGCTGAGGGGGTTCAGGTCCACACAGAACAGCGGTGGGGAAAGAGCAGCACCTTCGTTTATCCCCTTAACGCCGGTTGTTGCTACTTGGCATCAAACCTGCAATTGCTTCAAATGCAACCAAGATACCCCATGTACCTGAAATAAAATACACAGGTGAAAAACTTTTTCATAATTGAAAACAAGTTCAGGCGCTAAGGGGATATGCCACACTTGATGCGATCAGTTGTTCCAGATGTTCAGTCCCAGGTGTGTAACTTGGCTCCTGATGGACAGATCCTGGATGACCTTCACCAACTCCTGGATGAGGAGTAGGATGTTGTTTCACAGCAACATGTGGCCATTCTGGTGACAAAGCACTTTGGAGCCCAGCGCTACACAATATCCATTTTTTAAAGAGAGGATGAAGATAGTTTGTTAAAACCATAATGAAGCTTGGTGGACTCATTGTTGTGCACCATCTCTGTAACGTCTAATGAATGTAATCAGCTCAGCTGTTTCAGACATTGTAACTTTTCTCTTCTCTACCTACTTCTCTCCACTGTCAGGTTGTGTCCCACTGCACACACACACCCCCGTCCACCACTGGCTGACATCGCTGTGACAACCTCCACGCCTCCCTCCTCACAGAGCACCACTGAGCCCTTTCCTCACCCACTATGGCCCTGTCCTCACGCTTAAAACTGTGGGAGCAGAAGGGAGGTGCAGAGATACTGCATGCTGCATTAACTCACACACTAATCACAAACCATATCTCTGTGTGTGTGTGTGTGTGTGTGTTAGAGAAAGTAGCATTGATCTCTAAATGAGTGAATCTGTTCTAACCCTGAGTCATTGTGGTGTCTCACTGTGAAGCATCTGTGCTGGATGAGTCACCTCTCATGGAGCTCATCTCTGAACATGGCCATCTGACATTCTCACCAATCAACGAGTCACAAGCTGGCCCCACCATGCTAACAGGACTTTGTACAAATTAGTGTAATAATTTAAATGGACATTTCAGCCACTTTGAAGTGTGTATCTCTGCAAAAGTTATGAGTTATACCCATCGTGCCTGCTGCAGATGTCCAAACGTTTGTTCAGAGAAATTTGGATTATGTCAAACACAGCTGATAAGCTACCAGCTAGGTGGAATGCAGCAAAGACCTGAGTGTCTATCTTGAAACATCAGCATTGTTCTAAATCTCAATGTTTCATACAGTTTAGGTTTTTTAAACCCTTGCATTGCCGACAGTTTGTCATTTCACTTCTCATTTACATGAAATTCTGTCATTAATTATAATAAATATGGCCAGCGGTAAAATGTAGCAGTTCTGCTGCACCCAGGTGTCAGATCTGACTCATTCATTCATTCATTCATTCATTCATTCATTCGTTCGTTCATTTAGTCAGTCAGCCAGCCATTGCTTTTACCTGCTTGTTTCTGTTTGGGGCCACAATAAACAGCTCTCCATCTCCAGCAGTTGTGTGAAAACTACATCAAGATTAGTCACCAGTCCATCACTTTCTCACACATGCACCTGCGTGAATACGTGAACACACACACACATACGCACGCACACACGCACGCATGCACGCACACGCACACACACACACACACACACACACACACACACACACACACACACACACACACACACACACACACACACACACACACACACACACACACACACACACACACACCAAAGAGCCTAATGTACATGTTTTTTTTCTGTGAGAGGACGTTGGACTGCCCGGATAAAAACCACACCTGCACAGGAGGAGACCACACCAGTTCAAACCTCCCCTGCCAGGTTTTGGGGCAAGACTAAATCAGCTGTGTCTCTGTGCAGATTTGGCAGAAATTTCCTAACATTCCAGTCAAATTAACCGTGTAACGCCTGACCCACCAAACCCGTAAAACACCAACCACTTTTGGACAGATTTTTTTTTTACTACACTTTAGCAGGTCTTCACCTTGTGTGATAAATCTGCAAGCAATAGAGTTACCCAGTGTTTTCTTTTCCATTTGCCAGATTAATGCTGAACAACCTAATTTAAGCAGGTTAAGACTTTCATTGTTCTCCTCTTCCTTCGCTCTACATCTGCTCTTGTTTCATTTTCGATGACAGCCGTGTTTAACTGACCCAGGAATCAGAACAGCTGGACATGAACGTGAACCAAACACGGTTACCAGCTAAAATAACTTTATTTATTAGCGTCGCAGAAATGTTGGACAAATATAAGAAAATGCTAACAATAAATCCCCAAAACCTTTACAAAAATACTTGTTAAAAACAAAACAAACTGAGTGGATAAAGCAGAGCCATTGATGATTCAAGCAGATTTACAATCGCCTCCATCCTAAAGATAAAACACCGGTTTTACTGAACTGTGTTACGTCTGAGGAGAGCAGCTTCATGGAGGTGTTGTAGAACTTGTGTGATGTGGTGACTTGTTCCTGTTGACATGGGTTTCCCCTCATCCATCACTCCAACTACAGATAAAGGAGGAGAACAAGCCCGTGGCTGCCGTTGCCTCCCCACCTCCTCTGTCAGCTCTACCAGGAGGTCTCCTCAAGCAGCTCGTCAGAAGCTCGGAGAAAGAGACCAAACACAAAGAGCCGGAGATCAAAGAGGAGAGAGCGGTGAGTCACACGCCTTAACCAAGGCCAAAACCATGCATCATTATTTTACATCCCTCAAAACCACAATTACACAGTTAGTACATTCTGTAGGTGGGTGATGGTCATCAGCCAATCTGCATCAGCAAATGCAGACGACGACTAAACATCAGTCAAGTTTACAGACGCGGAGCTACAATCTGAGATTACAGATTATGAATGACAGTTTAAGATTTGAACAAAACCATCATTTCTTTACATAAATTAATAGTGAAACTCTGGTGTGGAAGACAGTAAGTGGGTTCAATACACCGCCTTTAAAGCTGTTATAACAAGTTTGGAAAACTAATTAGCTTTAAACATTTTTTCCATGCCTCTTAACATTCCAACATAATATGGCTATTAATATTTTGTGGACATTAACATTAAAATGAGAAGAATTAATAAAGTTGTTCTCTTGCATTTGTGTAAAAACCTCCACCAATAACACATTTCAGACTGAAATCACCTATTGGACCATCCGGTTGTCGGTCCAATAGGTGATTGCAGTGATGGTCAAACTACTAATGTTTCAACTAGAATAATGTAAATTCGTAGCATCCATCAAATTGATTTTTAAAACACGAGTCGGACTATTCTCCTAGCAAACGTTGAGATAAACACAAGCTAGTTCAGCTGAGAAGCACAAGCTGCATCGTTTACAGGTTGTTTACATGTTCTTACTGTGGCCCAGGTAAATGTAAATTGTGTCTTACATGCAGAAATGCATGAGTCAGGCAGGGACAAAGGGACACATTTTAACTTGATCAAAATAAGTTTTACTTAGAATTTGTATACAAGTCTTTAGTCATCTTTGTGCAGGTTAAAATTTACTCATGAGTCTAAAAAGACACTGGTCCACTTGAATAAAGGCTCGACTTTCATGGACGTCTCCCTGACTCACATTTTGAGCCCTGGCATCATGGTTCAGCGAGACAGAGCAGCATCTCATGCAAGCTGTCCAATGCAGCACGAACGATGTGGCTGCTGAGTTAGTAAAACAGCACCTAGACTGATCTAAAGGACAACAGTGTGTGGGACTCCCTAAGTGAGAACGTTAATGAAGTCAAAATCAAAGACGGAGCAAAATCAGGTCAGACAAAATCTAAAATCAAATATTTTTAGATTTTATTTGATCCAATAAGGTTGGTAAAAATATGAAGCAGATTTTTTATGAACTGTTTAGAACATTTTCATGAAACTACTGTATACCAAAATGATTTTTCAACTGCCTTCAATGTCTTTGATCCTTCTTTTGTCCGCCTAAAATATAACATATAAAGTGAACACTCATTTAAGAAATGGTAAGTTAATGAGAAAATAGACATTTAGAGGCTCTGGCAGATTTTTGTCTTGCCCTAGCCTTTGGTAACAGTCAACTTGCTTTTTTCTACTTCAGCCTCACAGACTGAGTGACAACCTGGTGCAGCAGTTTCTGATCCCGGATCAAACTCCTCCAATCCTTGAGGCGGAGATGGCTCTGAGGGCTGAACAACCCAACAACAGTAAACAGAAAAGGTGCCGCTCGGCCCAGTCGGATGACAGGTCCTCGTCTCAGCACCAAAGACTGACTCCAGAACCTGACAGCAAACCGAAAACCAAACAAGACTCGGAGAAGCCAAAACCAAAGCAGCTGCTGCAGCAAAAGGAGAAGACAGCTGAGCCACAGAAGGAGGAAGAGAAGAAGAAGAACGGGATGGAGGAAAGGCAGGAGCCAGAGGGGAGACAAGCAGATACGACCATAACTGAACGGGACAGGAAGGAGGTTTGTTCTCACACGTCCAGTTTGTTCATCAGGTATTATTATTATTTAAATGTCTGACTTAAATTTGTATCTGTTTTCTTTTTACACTAATGAGGTCTGTCCAGACTATAGATGCTCTAAAAGACCCGAGGCTCTAATCCCATTGTGGAGCACATAGATGTTGCTTTAATGCTTATGAGCTGGCAAATACAAATACAGTACACATTGAGATTAATTGTCAGTCGGTCTCAATCAGTAAAAACAAAAATTAATATACAAATTTTTTAAATGTTTGTTTTCCAATAAAAACAACTAAAAGCCCTCCCCCAATACATTTTTTAAATTTGAAGTGATATCTACTGGATCAAAAGGCTTCAGCTCTCTTTTCATTAATCTGGTCACATGTGAAGCAGAAAAACAAGCAGTCTCTGAAAGGATCTGGTTTATTCAACCACCCAATCTCATTTAAACATAACGTTAGAGTTCTCATGGTTGGAGGAGTTAATCTCCGCCCTGTGACAGGAGGGTTGCAGGTTCACGCCCCCGCTCAGCCTGTCACAATCAGTGTGTCCTTGGGCAAGACACTGTTCAGAGGGACCAGAGGCACCAGTGTACAGCACCACCTCTGTCAGTGAGCCCCAGTGCAGCTGTAGCTATGATGTAGCTCATCAATCACAGACAGCGTGTGTGTGTGTTTGTGAATGGATGCATGACTCATAAAAGCGATGGTTATTTATCATTATCAAATCCAGTGGTTTGATGATAAAGAGATCCTGAGGTACTTCAGCCAAACACAAGCTGATAAATCACCAGAATGGGAGACTGCATCACTGTGGTGCACTCCAGGTTAGGAGAGTAAATGTACCAACAGAGGAGATATCATCGCTTATCTCATGTTCCTTGTTTGTGTTTTAGGTGAAGGATGTTTGGTATGAAGCTGGGACTGTGTGGTATGTCCACAAGGATGGATTCACTCGTGGTGAGTGGAGAGAGAGCATCATAACACACACACACACACACACACACACGCGCGCACACGCACGCACACACACGCACGCACGCACGCACGCGACATGCACGCACGCACACACACACACACACACACACACACATCGTCTGATACATTTCTGTCGTTTACATAGAGACACAGGAGGAACTAATAAAACTAAATCTATTTGTGTAACAAACAGGAAGTGATGTTTATGACTGAACAAATGAAAAAATATGTTTCTATTTAAAAACAAAAGGACAGTAAAAGGACAAGTTTGAGCAATTAAGAAATAACTTTACTTAAAAATGCCCAAAATGCAGGTTTGCATTGACTTAAACTTAATCTGATTACTACAGCACTGTTCATGATGTAAACATAGAAACAGACTCTCTTTTTTTTTCTCTCTCTCTAAATGTTTTGTGTCTGTGGATTAGGATTGTGTCTGTTAATCCAGACACAATCTGTGCTAATCTTCTAGCCCGTTGTCTACATGTCTACATATCATGTTCCACTTTAGTTCCAGGTGCTCGTTTTACTCAGCCAGCTCCTCACTGATCCGTTTAGACCCACACACCCCTGACCTCTGACCTCATTCTTTTACATAGCTGGATGTGTGATATGAATCTAAACTTTGACTGATTCATGTGACTGCACGGGTCATTTGTTCAGCTACCCACATGAAGCCTGATGAAGGAACACCTGAACTCCCAGAAGGCCGAGCGAGGATCCGCCTGGAGACGGACGGATCTCTGCTTGACGTCTCAGAGTACGAGGTGGAGAAGGTAAATCATTCCTTTCATCTCAGTGACATGTATTTTTTCATGTTGTGGGGTTTCTTTATATTTTTTAGCCAATTAGCTTTTATTATTTTGTTTTTGTTGATAATATTGTATTCATTCATTCACTGAATTTTCTTTGACACATTCTCCAAATCATCTGTGGTGTCGTGTCACATCATAGCGTTTTCAACAAATGTCTAATTTGTAATGTCAGAAAACCCTCTAGGTTTTGGTGCAACAGGCTACATCTGCTTCAGAACAGCATCTTCCTTTGTAAACACAACACACAGACACCTGCACCATGGCTCTCTAGAGCAGACCTGTCACCTACTGCAGCAGTGTGAAGCTTCAATAAAACATGTAAACATCACAAGGTCACATGTGACCTTCCTGCTGTGGGGACATCAGGTGTAGATGACCTGTAACTAGCTGTCAGAGTCCCTTCCCTCCTTAGTGTAACCCACCAGAGCTGGACCTGTGTGAGGACCTGAGCGACCTTCAGAGAGTCAACGAATGTGGAGTCCTGCATACGCTGACCAGTCGCGCTAAAGCCAACATGATGCTGACCCACGCCGGACCCAACCTGGTTAGCTTGTGGCCCCCCCTGCAGACCCACAGCAAGGTGAACCCAGTCACCCTGATGTTCGTTATGATTCACTCACGGCGGGGCGGTGTGGGCTCAGCCTCTTCCTGTGTTTGCAGACCCCAAAGTCACGGCGAGGCGAATCAGTGTGGGACGCCCCCCCGGCACTGGCTGCTCTGGTCAAAAGAGTGTATTTGTCCATGGTTGGTTCCAGGAGGGACCACAGTGTGTGTGTGCTGGGGCGCAGTGGGACTGGAAAGACCATGGCGTGCCAGGCCTTCACCCACGCCCTCCTGAGACAGGCTGGAACAGCAGGGAAGAGCGTCAGCGGTGAGTCTTCTGTGTCGAAACCATCACTAACGATTCCCCGCTGCAAGAATCACGAGAACATTATTCCCACATCTGTGGCCCCGTTTCCTCCTGGAGTTTTATTTTTCCTGTTTCGTGTGATTTATTTAGTCATTTTTATTTTCTTTACTGTTTTTCTCATCTTAAAAACCAAACATTAACAAAAAGGGAGTGCAGCAGAATGTGCTGAGCTTTTTTAACAGGTGTCAATTACATTTGCTTTGTGATTGGAGCCAAAAGGGAAATTACAATTTTAATAGTGAATCCCTTATCGAGTTTCTATGTAGAAAGCACGAACACTTTCAGTTATCAATGAAATTAAAGTCACACTTAGGTCAGATATTTAATTAAGTAATAATTTAAACCTGACACATCCTGCTTTATGGTGGCTGCTAAAACCTTTTCTAATGGAATCAGATTACATTAGGATCTCACCAACATGTTTTCTTTCCCCAGTGGAGCGTGTGCAGGCCATGTTCACCATCCTCAGGTCTTTTGGTTGTGTGAGCTCACCGCACAGCGACGCCTCATCTCGGTTCGCCATGGTTTTCTCTCTGGACTTTAACCACGCTGGACAGGCTGCTGCTGGACATCTGCAGGCAAGCAGCTCCCCCAGCACACTCATGTAATCAGGCAAACAGCTGCATCCAGGTGTCTCATGTCTTCTCTTCCTCTGTGTGTCTCCTTTGACCAGACCATGAGCTTGGATAAATGGAAGGTGTGTCAGAAAACTAATGGAGAAAGCAACTTCCTGGTCTTCTCTCAGATGTTGGCAGGACTCAACACAGAAATGAGGTGATTTTACTTCCTTTTTATTGTTCATTGGTCATTAATACTGATTGTGTGAATGCATAAACTGTGAAGCACCATTATTGATTCCTGAAGTTACAGTTTTCATTTAAAACTGGTCCTGCAGCTTTGGAAATAACATCCAAATGTGTGACTCAATCAGGAACTGGTTGTGTGACTTTTAGCAAAATTAAATGATAAAATAAGCAAAAAGCACAAAAAAAGTCTGCTAAAGCCCGGTTCACACACCAAGTTCTGACTCGCTCCTTCCTTTCTGACAATCTTATATGATTACCATGATAGCTCTAAAGATAATCTTATCAGATAATCTTACTGTGTGTGGTGTGATATGAGTGCTCTGGTCCACTCCAAAGGATGTTGGGACCACTCTGATTATAAATCTGGGCTTTCACACATGCTAGATGGTTTTGGTCTAATTTTCGGGGACAAACGTGTGTGCTGCCTGTTGAATGTGTCGTTAAGCCAATCAGAAAGTGAGGTAACGTAGGCGAACAGCACTCTCCTTCTTCATCATGTTTAGTTTGTATGATTTCCTACCTGAGCGGGGAATGTTTAGGAGTGAAAGCCGTTTGTGTGTAGTGTGTGGTTTTTGCCTAGTTGCTGCACACCACACTCTGTAGTACCAAAACCGGCACATCCGTGATTATTTACCACCACCCGTGTGGTCTCTCTGGCTTTGAAATCAGCCAAATATGAACCGGGCTTTAATCAACAATAAGATGATGCTTTTTAGTGTAGCAGAGCAGCAGCTCTACTCTGAGCTCCCCTGGAGGATGGAGCTCCTTACTTTATCTGTGAGGCTGAGCCTGCTGGAAGCTCATCCTGCTGCGTGCATCCTGGATTTAATAATTTTGGTCACTATAGAAATCCTGCGTGAGGGTTGGAATGGGGATGAAAGAATTGATTCACCTCAACAGACTGCACCCTAAGCTCTCATCCATCCACCCATATCTCCTGCTCCATCCTAATGCCACTCACCAACATGACACAGGAGACAACGCCTTTGCTTGAGGGGTTTAGGATGATCCTGAAGGATGTTTTTTGTGGGGCGTTAGGGTAGGGATCAGTCTAAGCAATTCAAAGATTTTGATGGTGTAGGACAGCAAACAGGGTATAATCCCTGGAGTAGGGTGACTGAGGCACCCTCCTGTAGACAGGAGTGAGAGGAGGTCTCCTCTGAGAGCTCCTGGTGGTTGGGCATCATGAAGTCACTTCTACAAACTAGCCCATCTGTAGGCAGAAACATTGGTTACAATTTTAACTGGTCACAAAAAGCTGAGATGGAGCAGATAGTAAAATGTCACTGCTCCTGAATCAGGCTGCAGATTTGTCCTTTATACCTGACCTTTAGACATGTCCTCAGTTATTTCTCCTTGGTCTGTCAACAGGACCGAACTGCAGCTCCACCAGCTTCCTGAAGCCAACTCTTTTGGTATCGTTCATCCCACCAAGGTACGGTAGTCTCAGCAGTCTGTGTGGAATGGTAAATGGTCTGTATTGTATAGTGCCTACGATGCTGCCTGGTTTCACAGACAGTACTTAGAATTTGTTTTTTACCTTTCAAAAGTGCAGAAGACAGCGTGGTTGTTGAAGGAGCAATGTGTAAGAATTCTACTGTGAAATAATCACAAAACAGTCTAACGGATCAGTCATGTTGGAAGGAAGTTTATGTTGAAACAGATTTTATTCTCAGCTGGCCGGGGCTTTTCTCCTTTTACAATCTGTGAGCCCCCGGGGGTGCAGAGCCGATAGTGCAGTGCCGACTTTTGTAATTCAACAGCGGCCGGCAAACCGCAGCAGTGTTTTGTAAACAACTGAAGCCAATAAACAGGAGTGACCCAGAAGTTATTTCTTGTATCCCTAAGTAGCCACAGCATCCTTTAGTTTTACTCTGATATCACTTGAAGGCTGGAGGCTAATGTGGAGCTAACAATGCTAATGGTGAATTAGAAAAAAATAATCTGCTCTAAAAATCTCTCAAGGTATTTTTTTTTCCAATTACCAGCAACTCAGCATTACAGTGAAACGTATTTATCTACTTCTTAACCTACTGTGTGCGACCCGTCTTTGCTTGTCATCCAGAGTCTCCTGGCGCTGAGCCCTAGCTGGCACACAGCAGCGTAACGGTTAAGAAAATAATGCTGACACGAATAATTGAAATTCAGGGGAGTGGAGCAGCTGTAAGCTGGAAACGATTTACGTTGAGGTTCAGTCCATATGGATTTCCTCTAAAAGTTTCAAAGATAAGATAAAAAGTCCCAACTGTTGTTCCTAAACTTTGGAATCATCTTGCTTTATTTATGCAACAACCTTTCATTTAAAATTGTCTTTACTCAAATCGTTTGTATTTAATTCATCTGTACAACTTTTTTCTGTTTTCTGTTTGTTTTATGGCTCATTTTGGAAAATAATTGTTTTTTGTTTTCTGATTTTTCAGATTTTTAGTTCTGTGAAAAGTGTTATCTAAATGAACTTTACTTACGTAGAAGCTAAACATGTCTGCCCTGTACACACCCATGTTCGAATTGGAGAGTTTCTGTGGTCTGAAAGCTGTTAAAGTGTAGTTTCAGTTTTGAAGTTGCTGACTGAATACGTAATACGACTGAGAGATGAGACACGATCCAGCTGTGTCTGCACCTCATTAGGTGGCTGATTTTCAGAGACAGCCCTGACAGACCTCCAATCCTTCTGCCTGTGTGTTTACAGGTTGAGGAGAAGCAACGAGCGTCTGTCGCCTTCACCAAGCTGCTGACTGCTATGGAAATGTTGGGCTTCTCAGCCAGCGAGCAGAAGGCGATCTGGCATGTTCTGGCTGGTATTTACCATCTGGGAGCTGCTGGGGCCTGTAAAGGTAACACAGATTCATCAGCAGCATCAATCACTAATAACCGTCCTCCATGAACACAGATCTGTATTTCTGCTGGCGTGAGGACCATCTTGGTGAAAAGGTTTTCACACACATAGCAAACCCTGGCAGCCTGAGGAACTTTTATCATGTTGGGAGTGCATGAATCATGCACCACTTAAGTGCACACTCAAAGCAGACCAGAACTCCAGAGGTTTGTCTGGAAGTGCATCTTTATGGGCTGCTATTAAAAACGTTGACTTTCTGAGAACACCCGTCAGTACTAACATTCACATTGATTTCTATGTACCTTTAAAACACAACTTTAATCAGAGCTGCTAACAAGGAAGTCACTGGAGGGCAGATACACGGAGGTGAGTGAATGCTGCTGCCTGCCGTTCTCTTTGTTTTTAACCCTCTCATGCTCAAAATACGTTTTGATGAAAGGACAAACAACTAAGTCCTTCAGGGGTACTTCTGAGTTAAAAAATGTTCATGAAACACGTATGTGGAGTAGCCAGGTGAGGTAGGTATTAGGTTTTAACTTGCAAATCTGCAGCACTTGCCTCCAGAGGTTTAATCGTGATCTTCGTCTAGAGAAGGTTAAGGATCAAATCCTTATTGTGAACAACTTCAGCAGGTTTAACAGCTCACAGTATTAAATGTTTACTTTATGTGCAAATATAAATGACCTAAACAGGAGCAAAAACATCATCGCTGGGATATACTGCTGTTGTGTCCTTGGGCAAGACACTTCACCCGACTTGCCTGTGTTAGTGGTGGTCAGAGGGGCCGACGGCGCCAAATGGCAGCCTCGCCTCTGTCAGACCTCCCCTGGGCGGCTGTGGCTACAAGCAGCTTACAATCACTAGCAGTGTGTGAATGTGAGAGTGTGTGAAAATGTCTTTGGGTGTCTAGAAAAGCGCTATATAAGTTCAATGCATTATTATTATATTTTAAGGAACTGTTCGCCTCACCTCCACTTTAGTATGAAACTAACATAAAATAAACAGACATTCAAATATCAAAAGAAAGGATTAAATGGAGTCAGTCTGAATGCACCTCAGTAAACAAACTTTCAGTCTGGTTGGTGCATGATTGGAAAATTCATGTTTGATAGCCAACACTAAATGAGTGTTCCAAATAACTGCACTGATGCTAAATTAAACTTTACAGTAATAATCAATCAAGTGTTAGTGCTTTGCAGGAGTCCTGGAGAGGCAAAAGGAGAAAATCAATGCCCTACCCCCACCGTTATCTCGGCGACCACCAGCAGTATTTAAACAGGAAGAAGAGTTACTAGGTAGGAGCTCTGGGCAGCTGGATGGTGCACATGACTGGAAACTGCTGGTGGATCTGGGCCAAAGGTTTTGCTTTCCACCTAAGATTGCATCTACCAGCCTAAGACCTGATATTGTGCTGTGGTCAGCAGCTCTTAAGACTGTTTACATCTTCTAGCTCACCGTACCTTGGGAGGATGCAGTTGAGGAGGCCTACGAGTGCAAGAAATTGAGATGCACTGAACTTTCAGCTGAAGCACAACAACATGGCTGGAAGACAAAGGTTTGACCTGTGGAGGTGGGATGCAGATTTGTAACCTTTGCAACATCAAGGCGAGCTTGTTGTGTGGGGCCAGGGTTATCGGGGGCAATGATGTCTCCAGAGAAGCTGAAAGGGGCAGCTGGTGGCTTTGGCTGAAAAGAAAGAACTGGCTGGGTTGATGGTGTCTTAGGGGTGTGCCTGGGACACTGGGAGTCATTGATGAACCCTCCGGAGACGCCGTGAGCCTAGCAGCACAACGTTGAGAAAGGAGGGCGTCCACTTGAGAACCCAGAGAGATGCCATCATTCAGCTGATTGTCCCACAGAATCAAAGCTGCAGGTCTTATGTATGCAAGTGGGGATTGTGACATCTAGTCCTTTGAATCAAATCTGTGAACATAGTTCCCACATAATGAATTACTTGATTTATTTTGTTGCTGCTGCCTTGAATCATTGGAGTTTCAAAAGGCCAACCTCTTTTAACTTCCTACGTTAGCGGCTAGCTGTGCTGCTAAACTATTGCTAGCAGCTTGTTTGTTTTTCTCTTCTTTTTTTTTTTAATTTCTCCTAAGTCAGAGGTCTGCCACCTGCAGCTCTGGAGCCACAAGTGGGGAGAAGGGTTAAGGTTATTTCTGCTGTAACTGTTTTACTCTCTCTGTTTATGTCTTCACAGTGGGCAGGAGGCAGTTTGTGAACTTTGACAGTGCTCAGATGGCCAGCAGCGTGCTTGGGTGTGAGGGAGAGGAGTTTCACACGGCTGTGTTCAAACATCACCTGAGACAGCTGCTGCAGAGAGCCACCGGGGGCAGCAGAGAGAAAAACGAGCCAGAAGAAGGTCAGACTCAACATCAGAATAAACACGGGAAGGTCCAGACAGAGAGCAAAACTAAACCAAAAGGTCCGATAATCACTCATTAGCTGTCCCAAGAGACTGTGTCCATATCTAAACTCTCTAAAGCAAATAGGATGGATAGATAACAGTAAAAAATCAGAAGCAAACCACATCAAACCAGATGTTCAGTTTCATTAATCCATTTGGACACAAACTGTTACTTTTTATCACGATAGCCCACACATTATTATTGCTTTTAACTGTAAGACAAGCACTTTAATCCCAGACTGTATGCAGATTTTCTCTTGGTGAAACCCTAAAAATCTGAATAAAAATGTTTACTTTCACTTTTTTTTAATCCTCAAACAAAATACATCTGTTACATCCGTATCTCAAAAACTCCCAAGATGTTAAGACAGCAAATCAAAAATTTCAAACTCTAATTGGTTGTCCAACTTGTCCATAAAAGACTAATATTGCCAGAAAATGCAAGTTGGTTTACTTTTTCCATATCTCTAAATGACAGCACTCCCAGCAGATCCCTGCGTGATCTCCTTTTCACAGTCTCCTACCTCGCTGGCTTCTTTTTATGCTGCTGTTTCTGTCTTCCTTGTTTTTTACCTTGTGATCTAGGTCTATAGGTATAACCGTTTACTTATGTTCTTACATATTTACAGTCTCAGTGTCTTTGGTTGGACATTGTGAAAAGTATGCTGTTCAAGGTTCAGTCATCCATACTGCCAAACTAGAATATTTAGTAGAAAGTAAACTGTGCTTCTAATGTTTCTTGACACATTTTTCTTAGCTGAGAAGGTTTTATGACTCAAAATGAAAAGTGTGTGGATATAAAGGTGATTCATTCACTCTGACCCTAAAAGTAGCCTAAATTCACCACTGATCCGGTCTCATTTACAACTTATTTAACACACAACAACCAAATGTAAAGAAAGCAAAGGTTCTCATGTGACCTGGTTAAAGTGTAGTGATTTTTCATAATGATGCCATTGTTCACAGACAGTGTTGGGAGTAACAGCGATTAAGTATAACAGTGTTACCAATGGCATTGTATTTTAGGTAATGGAGCAATCTAATTAATTACTTTTCCCATCGTGGCAACGGTCTTATCGACACTGGGCATGTAAAGTGGCGCGTTACTGCAGTGAAACGCAGCACAGACGGCCACACTAGTGATTTATCAGTCGTGCACAAAACTAGCCTGGAATGTAGACCGTCATTTCCCAAAGCAAAATAATTTAGCTTAGCATGTCTTAGCTTATATTTACATTTATAGGATGGCTTGTCAGGCTAGCCAAAAATGGCTCTTAGAGCCGATCAGAGTGGGCTTCTTGGAGGAGATGGGGTGAGTGACAAACTTTCATCCTACCCAAGCTGGTGCTACAAATGGCAAAAATGAACACACAACACTAAACACAGCAGGGTGTTTGTTTGCAGATTGGAGGCAGGCCTATGTGTGCGTGAGGCGCCACACACACTACTGAGGGAGGGAGGTGGTGCACACAAAATGCCTGAGACAATTATTACATTGACATGATGGGATCTGTAAATCTTGGTGGGGACAAATCTGTAAAAGAAAAGGAAAGAACAACTAGCAGTGCTCCAAAAAGATGAGGAGTGAAAACAGGACTGACTCAACTAGAGGATACCAAGAATATGGCAAGCCATTTTAACATTTAATCAACAATTGGACCTCTCTGTAATTCCTACTTATATAGTAATAATTTAATTTATTCTAGTACTAATTTTATTTTTATTAGTAAAAACTACAAGACATCTGCAGCTATGTTGGTACTATAGAAATTATAATTAAGGATATCCATAATAACAACGCCACTAGTAGGAATAAAGTTTGAGATTTCTCAGAATCCCTAAAAACCTAAGGTGGCCTTTTTAACAGTTATTAGACAGACTGTATATGTGTTCCAGGTATCTATAATTATTTTGTTCCTAGTAGATATTAAGATATACATAGTATGTTCTTACTGAATGATTCAGATATTTGAATTGTCCTTCTAGAAAGTAAGAATCATTCAGTTATAAAAACATTAATGTTGTAGATATTATAGAATGGAACTGTGTTATAGCACATAAAAGTAACATCACAACTACTTAGCTTTGTAACTAATTACTTTAACAATGTGGTAACTGAGTTACTAACTCAATTAGTTTTTGGAAAAAGTAATTTGTAACTATAATAATTACTTTTTTAACATAAGATGCCCATCATTGTTCACAAGTACAGAAAAGTTGAATCAAAAACCATGAGGCCATTATGGCTCCTAATGAACCTCTTCTGATGTAAACTGCACGATGATGGTGATGGTGTCAGAAGGATGACTTTATAGGAGTGAAGCCATGACAGAGATCTGAACATTGTGATGTGTTAGCGTGACACTGCCGTGTTGATGAAATCCCACGTTTACACTCATCTGGGAACAAAACCTCACATCTGACTTGTGTGCAGGTCCCCGTTTAACAGCTGCCCAGTGTGTCAGCGGAATGGCTGCCGGACTCTACGAAGAGCTTTTCACCGCCATAGTCTCACTCATCAACAGGTATGGGAACGGCTCCATTCAAGACCACATTTACTCAGCTGTAACTCAGAACCTCTCTACAGCAGCTCTTCCCTGAGCCGGGTAGTGGCTACAGGATACAGCAATAGAGCACGCCAAACACGGGCTTACTAAAACTTCACCACTGATGGGTCTTTTGCTGAATTAACCCCAGAAACATCTCCTGTTAAACAGCAGCAATGACAGGGATCTCTCCCTGTGACCATGGACGTAATTTTTGGGGGGGGGGGGGGGGGCATGTCCCCCCCACTTTTTCCAAAGTCAAGCTTTGACCCCTGCACTTTTTACCATCCAAAAACAATATTACGCTATTTTAAATTGACACTGGTTGAGCTCTAGGACCAAGCAGAAAACAACCATTTGTGTTGAAGCCTGTTTCCCATTAGAACATACTGTAAAGATTCCCCCCCCCCCCCCCACACACACACACACACACTTCTAAAGTGAAAATTACGTCCATGCCTGTGACCCAAATGTGGTAGTCAGATACTTATATCATATTTAATGTACACAAAATATCTGCTGATATATTTTCAGAAAAGCACATTGTGTCAAAATGCTCTAATTAGCTACTGATTATCAAAGGTATTTATTTAATAATCTAAAAGTTTTAGCTTCTGAAAGCCATAATTCACACTTTAATGTACTTATGGCATGAGCGCAATGCTTGTGTCGGTTAATTCCCTTACAGTTAAGAAGCAGCTGAGTTTAACTTGAACTAATGACCATGGATGTGTTTTGTGAGCAGAGCTCTGAGCTGTGAGCAGCTGGCGCTGGCCTCTGTGACGGTGGTGGACACTCCAGGTCTGAGAAACCCCAGACACTCAGCAGAGGAGCGGGGAGCCAGCTGGTCTGAGCTCTGCCACAACTATCTGCAAGAGCGGCTGCTGGAGCATTACCACTCACACACCTTCACACACACGCTGGAAAGATACGCACAGGTACCCACCCACACCCTCGCTCACCGTTGCAGTGAAAGTGCGAGATGCACAACTTTCCACAGACATCAGGGAAAGCGTCAGATACAAAGTAATAGGAAGTACAACAGGAATGTGTGCGCTGGACTGAAAAGAAAACAGCTGAATACAAATTCAATGATCAAATTAAAGGCAACGAGACAAAAAATAAAGGTGGAACTTGTATGCAAACATGTTAAAGGTACTGCTCAGAGGTATATTTCCTCTGTGTGAAACATAATGAAAGGTCCCCTGGGAAAAAAAGATCTGGATTCTACGGCTGGATTAATGAAAAATATAATGTCTTAAAAAAATAAAAGTTTCTGGTCGTAGAACCTCCCATCGTCTAATTAAGCACAGGGCCGTTGCCTCAGAAACTAAACATAACGCATGTTTTTACACGTTAGCATCATGGCAGGGGACAATGTTTCATCAGAGTCTGATATTAAATGAAAAATCTTTTTTTTTTAATATACTAAACTGATCTTCTGATGCACCTGTAACTTTAGGTCCCCCACTGCAGAAAGGTGACCTCCAGTAAAGTCCCATCCCAGCACAAAGAGTCAGCCAGAACAAGGATGATATGTAACACGCTGGCTCCCAATCAGTAGTGATAGGTTCATCTTTGTTCTGAGGTTGCTGTGGTTTATTATTGTTGCAGCGGTGCATCAGGGTCTAGTGTTTCTACAACATGGAGCCAGCACACACAAGAATCATTGGCTCAGAGTTAGAGGCAGGACTCACTGGACTCATGCCAAGTTTACAACCTCTTCTTGCCATCAGTACTTATTTAACATAAGATGATCATGTGTCAGTTTGCATTGAGTAAATAATTAACACCGCTACATTCAACACAACTTAAAACCAAAATAGAGAATAAAGCATAATGGCCACTTTACATTCAAACCATCTCCTCTTATCCAACAAGTAATGCTCATGTTCTTTATGTTATAAAGCATCCTTCTTTATAGAGGCTTGGATTTTCAGAAGCTACATGTTATGATTTAACAGCTCCACGTGTGTGTGTGTGTGTGTGTGTGTGTGCGTGCGTGCGTGTGCGTGATCTGGTGCAGGAGAATATCCACATGGAGTTTGAGTGTCCAGGGAGCAACGTAGGTGAAGTTGTGTCTGCCATCGATCAGCCTCCTCCCCAGGTATGACCACGCTCACGGGCACACACACTTATGTACACGCATGCACGCACGCACGCACGCTCGCACGGACGCGCGCACACACACACACACACACACACACACACACACACACACACACACACTAAACTGGTGTTAAAAGATATCTTGTCCTTTACTTGAATTTTGATTTCACATTAAGTCTATAGGTTAAATCAGCTAAAGAGAAACTTCACAGAAAAATCATTTTTACTTATTATTTTCAAAAATAATCAGTCACTTTGAGTTTTTCATGCAAGTTGAACATGAAAATAGTCTCCTACACCTATCTCCTGCATTAGCTTCTGATGGAAAATAGACAGTGAAACTCTAGGATTAAAAAAGTCTGACAGATCTACGTCACACTGTAACTTAACATTCATGGACTCACCCATCTTGACTCATGACGGGGATGGTTGTTGTTGTTTTAGCTTCCAGGAAACAGCAGAGAGCGTCTCAGCTAGTAGAAGCTAACTGTTAGCATTAGCAACTCCACCTCACAGCAAAACTCCTCCAGGCTTGTGTTATTTGTGGAGATAAAACACACACGTTGTAAAGCAGAGTAAGTGGTGTGTTCGGGTTGATGTCCAAATATCAGGAAATAAGACTCCAAATCCTGCTGTCTGAAGCAGGATCTCCTCTGACTTATTTCTCTGTGCTGAAATAGGAGCACCAGAGCTTTTTTCCTCCAGAGTGGACTCACAAGGCTTTCGTTTGTCAAACCTTTGTGGCTCATTTTCTTTTTCTTCTTTAAAAAAAAATCATAGTGTCTCTCTCTGTGTATTCCAGGTCCGGTCAGCAGATGGAGACCCCAGAGGTCTACTGTGGGTTCTGGATGAGGAGATGGTGACACCTGCCTCCAGTGAGAGCAGTGCCCTGGAGAGGGTCAGCCATTACTACAGCAATACCGGTAAATGTAAATCACACACACACACACACACACACACACACACACACACACACACACACACACACACACACACACACACACACACACACACACACACACACACACACACACACACACACACACACACACACACACACACACACACACACACACACACGCATGCACGCACGCACGCACACACACACACTTGTATTTATATGCTTGTGTGGACCTCCATTGACTCCATTGTAATGACTCCACTGTGCCTAACCCATACCATAACCTAAACTAAAAGTTAATTAGCACCATACCTCTAAAACCAAGTTTTAGGGTGCTCCACGGTGTGTGGACCAGAAAAATGTCCCCACAATGTGAAAATGTCCACACATTACAGGTTAACGTTCAAATGTGTCCCCTTAAACCTATAAAGACAAGTACACACCCACGGGATGCTGTGTACATGTGTGTCTCTGCAGTGCGTCAGTGTGAGCAGCCGCTGCAGTGTGAAGTCAACCACCTGATGGGTCATGACCCCGTCCGCTACGACCTCACAGGATGGTTTGGTTTGATCCAGAACAACCCATCTGCTGTCAACGCCACTGCTCTGCTCCAGAACTCCACTATGTGAGTCTGTCTGAAGGCCCAGGAGGCCGACCTGTCTGTTGGTGATAAATGAAAAAAATCATCACAGCTATCTTTAAACAATAGATGGAAATATCTCTGTCCTAAAAGACCATAAGAGGGGTATGAAACTTGAAAAAAACTTACCTCAAAAGTTCTCTGTTCTCCACAAAACTAGATCATTAAAAACGTCTGTTACCCTAAAAAAGAACATAAGTTACCCTGCCAGCCCTGTCTGCTCCTCTCAGCATCACTTCCACATTATAGACAGTAAATCCCAAAATGAAGGGGATATTGAAAATGAATCCTAACCAGTGGAAATATCAGAAAGGTTTTATTTTTAGTTGATTTCAGCAAAAAAATCAAACTCAGGTGGAACAGATGGAAGCAGTTTTTGCTTTGGCTGTTCTATCTGTTTAAAAAATGGTGACGAGATGTGTTGTTAGCTCAATGCTTGGTAGCTTCCTGACATGCTGACCATCTACTTCCTCAGAGCAGCGGTGAAGTCCATGTTCACCCCCAAGATCTCGCTGCCCCCTCTGTGCCGAGGTCTGGGGGGACTGGAGGGTGGCAGCCAGCGTGCCCTGCAGAGAAACAGCACAATCAGGAAAACTTTCAGCGGCGGGATGGCAGCGATACGCAGACACTCCCCGTGTATAGCTGTGAAATTACAGGCTGTGAGTAACCAGGCACTGCCAGGATGTGCTGACAAATGTAACGGGGTTCATCTTCTCACTTTTCTCTTCCACAGGATGCTCTGATAAACCTGATCCGTAGAACGAGACCGGTCTTCCTGCAGTGCTTGAGTTCAAAGGCGGACAATGGAAGTTTTGACGTCCCCGCTGTTAGAGCACAGCTGCAGTCCACTCACATCCTGGCGGCACTTCAGCTTTATCGTACAGGTCTGCATTTTCACACCCATACAGGTTTGCGGGGTAGGGGTGGCCCAGAATTTAGAGGATGTTGGTTTTAGCTAAGTTTGCTGCTTCAGTGTTTGGAGACCTTCTGCCAGATGTTTTTATTGTTACTGCAGTATACAGGTGAAGCTGGAAACATTAAAATATGGTGCAAAAGTTCATTTATGTCACGAATTCTGATGTTAAACTAATATATGAGATGGACTTATTACATGCAAAGTCTTTATTTGTTATAATTGTGATGGAATGTCTTACAGCTTATGAAAACCCCACAATCAAAATCTCAGACAATTAGAGTCTTGTGAAAAGGATGGATGAGCTGCCACCTTCCCGTGGTGGAGGGGTTTGAGTGTCCCAATGATCTTAGGAGCTAAGTTATGGCTCTGGTAGGATCACCCATGGCAAACAGGTCCTAGGTGAGGGATCAGACAAAGTGCAGCCCACAGACCCTTTATGAAGAACAAGACAATGAAAACAGTGTTCCCTCGCCCGGACACGGGCCACTGGGCCCCCCCTCTGGAGCCATGCTGGGTTTTTAACCACGGAGCCCGGCCGGACAAAGCCCGAAGAGGGAACGTGAGCCCCTGTTCCCATAGGCTCACCACTTGTGGGAGGGGTCAAAGGGGTGGTAGCCGAAGGCGGGGACCTTGGCATTAGAGATTTGTAGAGATTAGATTTGAATAAAGCTAAAGCTGCCAAAGTGTTAAATGGCATTTGTCACAGAATAGAGTCAAAACATACGGTAAACACACATAAATACAATACCACACAACGCAGCCGCAAGACGCTCTGCACGTTTCTAAACTCTGGTACTGAAGGGTCTTCATGCAGCTTTTTACACTCCTGGAGTGTGTGTGTGTGTGTGTGTGTGTGTGTGTGTGTGTGTGTGTGTGTGAGAGAGAGAGAGAGAGCCCCTGTTTGTAATTTTAGGTAAAAAAAATCCATGTGTGGGCTAAAATCAGGCCTACAATTTGAAGCTTTGTTGACTTCTAATCTTTGTTTTCGACAGCTAAGTGCTGAATAGAAGTCTGCTTTTAAACAAGATTGAAAAGAAAATGTTTTGTTCCCATTTTTACAAAAACAATTATTGAGGTTTAAATATCTGATATTTCTCCTAAGTATGATGGCACAATATGAAATATCTGAACATGAGCAGTGCTGCTGCTGGGTTTCTTGCTGGGTTTGACTGAATGTCCAGGTCAGTCTCAGACTTCTGTGTGACCTTGTGGAAATTAAATCTAATATTAAACCTGAGAGCCGTGTTAAAACTGGCAGCCCACACTCCACCTCTGGAGGGGGTTTTGCATTTAGGCCCACTCTGTACAGTCCCTATCTGGACCAGCGATGGGCTGCTGAGTAAACAGCAAGCTCAGCACAAAACTTTAGAGCAAAGCTGAGAGAGTTTAGCAGATTATTGCATTAAAATGTTGCTGATCTGGTGAACCGGTTCTCTGCTGAGCTCAACAGGAAATACTTAACTTCCAGTCTGTGTCGAGTCGGCACGACTAGAATGATGCAGCTGAAATGTGATTAATAATCTTATTGATAGATACATTACGGGTCTTTCATTAGTGCACAATCTGAATCATGTCCACCTAATCATCTGCATCATTTTATTAATTATTCTACAACATCTACAAAGTTTAATGTTGACATTACACCTACTGGTGCAATTTTAAGACAAAAGTGGGATGAGTCCTGGGTGTTTTTCTCTCTGCCTGCAGGTTATCCAGAGCACATGACCCTGAGTGACTTCAGGTGCCATTTTCAGGCTTTATGTCCTCCAATCATGAAGCGTTATGCCTCCATGTTTGTCAGCCATGATGAGAGGAAGGTAGGGAGGCGAGTGTCATCAGCTCACTCTTATAAACATATAAGTTCAGGATAATTGGCTGTGTGTGTGTGTGTGTGTGTGTGTGTGTGTGTGTGTGTGTGTGTGTGTGTGTGTGTGTATCAGGCAGTAGAGGAGCTGCTGGTTGAACTGGATGTGGATAAGAAGAGCATCATCCTGGGTTCCAGCAGGGTAAGACACACGTTTGGATTCGGATACCAACATGGATCCAGCTCAGTAAGGACTGGTGGATCCTCTGCCTGCTGTGTTTTAGGTGTTCATGAAGCGAGGCGTTCTGCTGTCGCTGGAGCAGCAGAGGGACCAGCAGGTCACAGGCTGGCTGGTTCATCTACAGGCAGCCTGCATGGGACACCTGGCCAGGCAGAGATACAGAAAACTCAAGGTCAGTTGGTGTTTGTTCTGCCCTGCTGACTATTCTCTGATCTGTACACACTCATTAACTATGGTTAATTTGCGTTTGTCCAGCTGTTCATGAGATAATCAACTGAGCAGTGGAAGTGAAAAGGTTTTCCTGTTATACAGTTATTTATAATTCACTTAGACCTTGTTAGCTTTGTGGCTTAAATGTTGAAATATTGCTTGTGAGTATCAGTCAAATAGCTAAGTTTTATCTGAGGCAAAGCATTTTACGTGTGTGTGTGTGTGTGCGTGCGTGTGTGTAGGCACAGCAGATGGCGATTCGATGTCTTCAGAGGAACTTACGAGTCCTGAGGGTTGTGGCCACGTGGAGCTGGTGGAAGCTTTTCTGCAAACTTCGTCCTATGCTTGACGTCAACATGGACAATGAAAGACTCAGGACCAAGGAGGTACACACAACCAGTTGTTTAAAAAGCAAGTCACCCCCCTACCAGAGTATTACTCCACCCACACTTCCTGTTTCAAAAAATGCTCCAAAAAGAGGCGTTGCCTGGTGGACTGAGAGGGCTGCACTGTGGCAGTTACTGACAGCACCCTCATTATTAAGTCCTGATCGATAGATTAATCACAAATGATCAGCCTGGGTGCTACAGTCATTTGGAACACAATGAAACATTATCCTCCAGTCCAAAATGAGGCAGGTGTAGTAAAGCTGTAACAACAAGCAAGCATTTAGAAAACATACACGCTGATAAAACAATGAGAGTGGGTCAGGGACAGCCTCTGAATCTAACAGGTGGTCTCAGGGATGATAGAAACAACATATATCCGACAAGTGTTTTACATTGTGGGGCTTCAACCACGCAGCAGTTAGATGTGCTTTGTTCTCCATTTTGGGCAGGATGAGATCTCAGCTCTGAGGCACCGCCTGGAGAAATCAGAGAAGGAGAGGAACGAGCTGAGGCAGGCAGCAGACAGCCTGGAGACCAAGGTTTGGGCTGACACACACACACACACACACACACACACACACACACACACACACACACACACACACACACACACACACACACACACACACACACATACATCCACGCACACACACACACTCGTGCGCACACACACACAAGTTGATATTGCAATATCTTTGCGTAGGTTACAGCTGTGACATCTGAGCTAAGCGATGAGCGTTTCCGTGGAGATGCGGTGGGTCAGGCTCTGGATGTGGAGAGGGCAGAGAGACTTCGCCTCGGCAGGGAGAACAAAGAGCTTCAGGTAGCTCCACTTACCTGGTTGTCACCAACGACTTCGTGAATCCTGAGTGACAGGAAGGTCTGGTTAGATCATGGCTGTTTCCTCAGATGTCTTTCCTAAACCAATTGCTTATTCTTTGTTGTCCAACATGTGACTTCTTTCAAATGGAGGTTCGACTAGACCAGTGTAAAGTTACCATAGAAACGCTGGAAAAGCAGCTGGAGGAGGAGAAACAGAAAGCTCAGGTTGCTGAAAGTCAGAGAGGAGCTGCAACAGGTAAAGTCTGTGTTTCTGTGCTTTTCAGGAGTATTAACTGGTGAAAAGATGAAAGCAAAACTCATTTATAGCTTTGTGCTTTTGTGTTTACCAGGTTATAAGGAGTGATCTTAATTTGTTATTTTTAAGTGTTTGCAGACTGATGCAGCAAACATATTGATTTGGATTAGGTTCTTTTTGATCGATTGACTGTTAAAACAGCCAGAGAAGACCTGGCTGACATAGATTTAATGTCACAGTTTAAAGGGGACAGTTTTTGCAGAACTCATCTTTAGCATTCTTTTGTGCAGCCATGTGGGTCTCTACTGCCTCTATAAACACTCCAAGCATGAAAAAAAAATCTGTACATCCATTTTCTGTCAGTGTTTGGTTTGAGGAATGACTCGTCTAAAAAAGCTGTTTCAGAAAAATGCCCCATTTGTGATGTCACAATCTGGAAAGTTAGAAACCACCTTTCAAGTGCAGAGAGAGCTATGCTGCTGGAGGAGTTGCGACTCTGAGACCCTTCCAGATATCTGAGCTTCTCAGCATATAGCAGCCTGAATGGGGATGGGTGGGCGTGGCCAGCTAAGGCTTAGATTCTTCCAGTTACAGAGCCCTGAAATGGCTCATTCTAGAAGGCGCTGAAACTTTCAAGAATAAAACAGCTGAAATAGCTCATAAACGTTTGGTAGCAACCACTGAACTATTCTAACTTAAGAAACGTAAAGTGTCCCCTTCAAATGAAAAGAAGAGGTTTTTATGTGAATGTTGTGTTGGATGGGCGGAGTGGCTAGGGTCACCTAAAGATCAGGTTTAGAGAGGGTGTTGTGTGAGGGGCAGATTTCAGAGTGATCGAAGCACTAGTGCTTTCATCCCAACCTCAGGATCTGGCAATGAAAACCAGTATTTCAGCACCAACTCTCAGCTGGACCAGAGGAAAGAAGATCCCATCATTAAGAGTTGAAGGCAGGCTCTTGTAGACTACCAATTCTGCTTGAAATCTCTGAGTTTGTTTTGCTTTAGCCGTGCTTGATCCAAGACAGATTTCTCAAATTCTGCAGAAGCATTTTAATCACTTATTGATTCAAATCAAGCATGCAAAAGCACAGGAACCTCTCAATGTTAAACGTGTAAAATATGAAGACTCAGTACTCAGTGACTATGATCATCATAAAAATAAAGGAGCCAAACATTAAACCTAGTGGCACTCCTGTGGATACAGCATTTTGTAAATTGTCTGAAAGGATCCATGGGAAAACTACTTGAGGTGTTTGGCAAGTCTCTCCAAAAGGAACATAACACAATACAGTTTTAGGGTTAGGATTAGATAGAAATCAACACCTTAATCTGTTTGGATGCCAATAAGAAGTCTTATGAAAGAAGTCAAAAACAAACCAAAGGTGAGTGGCCTCAACTGTGGAACAGCTGTCTGGAAGAATTTTAAATAGTGGACAAAACAAATTTCACACTGGTTATCGTCCTTGACAAAGTCACGCCCATCTGCTCTGTCCAACAGAAAGTGAGCTGGCCATGCAGCTGGAGTGCTGCCACACGGAGGTGGAATTTGTCCGCAGACGTCTGAGGCAGACGGAGGAAAAGCTGGAGACAGAGAAGCAGACTAGACAACAGCTCGATACCAAGGTGAGGCAGGTCACAGCAACGTGCACAGCAGCGCTGATGGCAGATTAAATATCTGGACTTAATGACACTTGTGCGTGTGTGCAGGTGGTGACTCTGCAGGCCCAGCTGGAGCAGTCCAGGAGGACTCTGACCGAGCAGAAACGTCACTGTCGCCGCGTGACCTCCGACTTCCAGGATGCCCGAGTGCTCACTGACAGTCTCCAGAGCCGCATGCACGAACTGGAGCGCAAACAGAGGAGGTTCAGTTCCTTCTGTGACGTGAACAATGTTAATTTAGTCTAGTGGACTCATGAATCTCCCACAGCTCTTAAATACCCTCTAACTCCTGCTAGCCTGACTGTGTGTATGTATGCGTGTGTGTGTGTGTGTGTACTGATGCAGGTTTGATAATGAGTTGGCTCAGGCTCTGGAGGAGGCCAACAATGAGAGGGAGCAGAAGGAAAAAGCTTTCCAGGAAAACACGGCTCTGGGGACTGAAGTATTCAACTTGCGCCGCAGCCTGCAGGTGTGTTAGACTTCATCTGTAAACTCTCTCTCTCTCTCTCTCTCTCTCTCTCTGTGTGTGTGTGTGTGTGTATGCGTATGTGTGTTTAAATCAAGCAAAGCCCTGTTCACATGGCAGGATTTTTCAATTTTCAAACATGAGAGTACAAATGTGGTGATGAAATACAATCACATAAAGACCAGTTTTGGTCCTACAGTGTGTGGTGTCGGTTTAGAGTTAGGGCCCAAATACCACACACTACACATGAGCTGATTTCACTCATGGACATTTTCTTGTCAGACAGGAAATCTTGCGAGATCAAACATGACTTCGATGTAAACAGGAACGTGCAGCATACTTCTGTCCCCTTGCTTTCTGATTGGCTACAGGTCGCATTTAATAGGTAGCACGTTCATTTGTCCCCGAAAATCACACCAAGTCAATCCAAGATGTTTGAAAGCTCGCATTTATGATCTGAGCGGTCCCAACATGCTTTTGTGCAAACCAGAGCACTGTTAACTCACCACACAATAGGATTATCTGCTGCGATTATCTTCAGAGCTGTTACGTAATTGTGTGCATCCTCAAGACTTTTGGAAGAAGAGGAGCAGGTCGAAAATCAGGTATCCTTCCATGTGAACCAGGGTTAAACCAAATTGCACTTCTCATCGTCAAAGCCTGAAGGTTTTGTTTCTGGTGCGTCTATGGCAGTGACTGGTGCTACATCAGAGCATCCTAAGATTCAGGCCCAGCATCACAGAAGGATTGTACATATTTGGAGTGAAAATCTGGGTTTTGCACCTCCATCTATTTCACAAAGCACTCAAAATAGGATACAGAATTTGTGCCTTTTTCTGTGCTACAACAAGGAGCATATTCAGGTGCGATTTATTAGCATTTAAACCAGGTTTTATGCAGCATTTAAATGAAAACCAACCTGTGTTTATGTTAATTAGGACTGAGGCAGAAGGCAGTTAATTCTCAAATACCTGAGCTGTTTGCAGCACACATGTAGTGTGGCATATCTCCAGAGAGCTAGTGAGAACTGTGTCTCAGGAGAAGGAACCCATGAAGAGAGTTTCTGCTGTCCTCAGAAAAGTAAGGCTGATGTGTCAGATTAAGTCGGACCTGTCTTCTCCATCCATCCATTTTCATCCACTTATCCAGAATCAGGTGGTGGAGGCAACAGCCTAAGTAGAGAGGCCCAGACTTCCCTCTCCCACTTGGGCCAGCTCGTCCAAGGGAATCCTAAGGCGTTCCCTGGCCAGCTGAGAGACAGTCCCTCCGGGGTGTCCTTGGTCTTCCTTTAGGCCTCCTCCTGGTTGGACGTGTCCGGAAAACCTCACCAAGGAGGCAGCATCCTAATCAGATGCCTGAGCCACTTCAACTGGCTCCTCTCGATGTGGAAAATCAGCAGATCTACTCCGAGCCCCTGCCGGATGATCAAGCTTCTCACCCTATCTCTAAGGGAGAGCCCAGCCACCCTGCTGAGAAAACTCATTTTGGCTGCCTGTATCTGTCTTTTCCTGTTTTAATTTGTTAGGTGAAAATATAAAAGCGCTTTGAAGTGCTGGTCAGGAAAGGTAAAAAATGCCGGTTACTGATCTAGAAAAATAACCCTGAACATAGTTCCTTCCCGAGAAGGACTTGGACCTGGAGCTCATTTCAGAAAATATTTTGTTGTCCTTTCTCCGTCACTTCTTTTCTGTGTTATATAAATAATCCTGAACTCGACTGTGCAGTGAGGAGAATTGTGATCGGATGCCAAATAATGCCAATTGCTCAAGTCTGCAGACCTTCATGGGTGATTTTATTTGTGTTATCTTTAAAACGAAGCAGGAGCAGACGATGCACAATGAAGCCCAACACAAGCTTGATGCATTTGAGCCTTACTCCTGTTTCATGTAGAACATTAATAGATATCAGAAAATCTTGTGTAGATGGATCAATCAGAGACAGCCATATGAAGTACATCATGTGCAGGCAGCAGCACACTTTTTTAATCACTTTAAGACTCATACTTCATGCTTGCCAAGATGATAAAATGGTGTATTTCATATTAATTAATCAAGACGATCAACATCAGCATTCAAAAGCTCTGAAAGTGCATCTGTTCTAGCTGTTTATGAGTGTTTCTGTTAACAAATTCCAACTATTTTTCTAACATTTTAGTTAATTTGCACATATCTGCTTGCAACATGTGTGTTTGTGCAGGAGAACCAGTTGGAGGTGAACCGTCTGCAGAAGCAGAAGGATGAGCTGTGTGCTCAGATCCGAGACCTGAGCCTGCCTGTTGATCTGGCCTCAGACTCCATACCAGACCTGAAGAAGCAGCTCCGCCTTTTGGAAAGCCAAGCTAGTGAGAGAGCCGAGGAAATCACTTCTCTCTCAGCTAAAGTCCAGCAGCAGCAACAGGTGCTCGCACTGATGCGACCAGACAGACTTCTCTTCCTGCTGGTCTCATCGCTTCTGCTTCATTTCTCTGACAGGTCCACATGCGGTTTGAGATCGAGATGGAGAGGATGAAGCAGATCCATCAGAAGGAGCTGGAAGACAAAGAAGAGGAGTTAGAGGATGTTCACAAGTCCTCTCAGAGACGGGTGGGTTCAGCTTTCAGGTGATGTGTGTCATTTAGGAAACTAACAAACTAACCCCGGCAGGGTGGAAACACGGCTAGTCTCCTAGATGTTGGGATCGGCTGCATTAACTCAGACAAAAACAGCTCATCTTCACAACTCTTTGTTTCTTCCTCTGCCATAATGAGATAGAGGAAAGGGTGCATTTTTCACAGACTGCGCCACAGAAGCAGAGGTGAACAATCGGTGCAGCTTGTGAACAGTCCGACTGGCTTTGGGTCACTGTTTTTCTTACAAGCAGTGGTGTGCCTAGAATTCTTTGGGGTGGGCAGATAGGGACACAAAATAGACAAGGGTGGGACATGTAAACGACTCATGACTTAAAAAAATTGTAT